TGCTACCAACAGCCTTACCAGTTTGTCAAAATCCTTACCTCTATAACTTACAATGTCATCACAAAGACAATCAACTTCAAAACACTCTTGTCATTTTGGACAGATTAAAGAAATGACTATAGAGCATCAAATAAATTTCCTTTTCTTTTAAGTCTGTCTTGGTAATGTTATCAAGTTGACTATAACAATTTCTAAATTGTACACAACCCATTTATTACTTAAGTCTTTAATTCACCTGTACTTAAAGCGTACCAATCACCTTTAAAAAAATGAGCTTCATACACCTATGATGTATAAAATCAACCTTAAAGGTAATACAAAGATTTGGTATGGGGTCATGAATTTGGTTCAAATGAACATAATGGAAGCGAATGCGATTCTACAATATTAAGTGATCGTTGTCGCGGTTGAAAACAAGTATAAAGTTTTGAAATTGTAAATAATAAACTCTTTGTTATATAGCTCCCTCTCAAGGTCAAGATATTAATTAAGCTATAAAACAATGTTTCTTGACTAAAATCGACCGATTAGCTCTTCCCGTTTGGAAATTATATATCACAACTACATATTCTGAGTTTTTCATGGTCGCAGCTAACATTGTACGGTCGTATAGGCGCTATTTGCAATTTATCAAAATTTACCGGGAGCACCGGTAAATTTTTATATTCAATTTTTCTCGAAAGCAGAAGTGCTTTAGGGGCTAATTTTTCTAGTGCTTATAAAACATCCACAGGGGCATCAAAATATATCAAAATGGTAAAGAATCACTATCCACCCATTTTCAAAATTTCCAAAACTTTGTATTACCTTTCACAGACTTCTCCCAGAAATATATGGGCAAACAAATTTATAAGGAGAATTAACAAAATGAAAAATAACAGTTAGAGTTGCAGCTGGAATGTAAGTTCAAGTTTGGGTTTGGGGTTAGAATAAGCTAGCATAATGATTAATGTCAGGTTTATGTTCAGCATGAGGTTTAGGGTTAGAGTTAGGGTTATATAGAGTCTATCATGCAGGGTAAAGTCAGGAATGCGATTCGTGTAGGAAATTGACCAAGGAGAAATTGTCCCTAGAGCATGTGACATAGAACCCAAGGGTAAGAATGACATGCTGCAGAGAAAAGATACGAAATCCCATCCTTGGCTTGGCCATGAAAGGTGACTCTTCTGATCAACTCCCTTCTTATCCTGCCTGATGGGGTTTGCAAACAATGGCATGACACAACGTAAGGTGTCATGTTCCCTCAACAGACTGTCTGTTCTGCATTGCATAGTGGTTGGTCGACTGAGGATACCTGGCAATCAGCCACACCAATAAGTCCTCAAGATAACACCTTGTAGAAGTAAAAGAACAGAATATCCTCTTCTGACAGCCAGAAGGGCGTTAACCCTGAGTAAATCTTAAATAAGCTAATGGCCTTTTGGCTCTCACAAACAATATACTCTTCTTACATTCTACCAGGAGAGTAATCACTACCTTCCTTTGGATCACATATAAGATCTATAGCAATGACTTTTCATTTCAAATGATACCTTTTTGTATCACACAAAGTGATAAGGTGGCTGACTTATCCCTAAGTAGTGCTGTAGCCGAACGGAAATTCGCCGAACATGGCACTTCCGAACCAAACCTAACCGAACGCAAAGGCCTGGTTCGGATGTTCGGCAGAAAAATGGGAACGTTTTTGCAAGCTAATAAACTTGTCATTTTGAATCTAATTTTCATGTCATGATTGCTCATTTTATATTTACTTTTTTCTCATTTTCCACCTTTGTGATTTATGCCTATCCAGTGGTGGGCGCAACTTCACTGGCGCCATTTAAATCCCAAATCCTGACCACGCTACGTCGCGATCGCAAGCCATATAAACAAGAATACATGTGCGTGATCAAAACAGGTTTAGCTCAAACCCACTCAACAAAAAAATAACATTTTAATTGTAACCATATTGGACAAATTTTACAATATAAATAATGAAATAAAAATATATTCTAGTATGGTATTCTAATATTCTAGTATTTATCCAGGAAAAATAGGGATTTCATATTTTTCCTATTGAAAATAAAAACTTATAAAAAAACAGTAATTGACGAGCCTGAGTTTCTGTTCAAGATGGCAGCTTTCATGACTCTAACATTAGACAAAAACCATCTCGGAAAATCTTTCAAAAATATAATTTATCAACAAATGGAAAACACGATTCTTTTAAAATTGACAATAAAACACGATTCAAGATGGAAATACGAATGTAAGTAGTAATTTTCTTCGCAAATAATTACGTTTAGAGCAGTTTTGTTATGTGAAATTTGTGCTGGTCGGAAGCAGTGTGCAGAAGTCCTCCGTGCTGGGGGCCCGGCAGGGCGGGCGGCCCGCCAAGTGCCGACCGCCGTGGCTATAATGCTGCTTTCTATTATATTACCAACCCCGAACCGAACCAAGTTCGGGTGAAAAATTGCCGAACTCTGCCGAACCGAACCAAACCGAACACGAACATAGCGTCTGACTTACAGCACTATCCCTAAGCATTACCCCTTCTTCCCCCTCTACACCCATTTTATCTTTATATCTTAATATCTTTCTGGATTATTTATATATCTCTCCTCCAATTTCATCTATCTACACCTTGCATTAAGTTTTCTCATCATGTACTGAACAAATTTGTGGATATACATGTAGCTGTATGACACCTTTCTAAGAAGTAGTTAACTCTTCACTTCTCGCTACAGCATATAGGAATATACATGCACATAATGCATTGCACCTGCGATACCTCAGTGATTTTATAGATTTACTACCTTCAATCTCTTGTGGAGGTATAACAATATGTAGGACAGTAATTAAAGTGCTGTCTGACCCTCATTAACTTACAAGTCTAGACAAGAGTACTCCCTAGACAAGGATTATATATACACCTAAGACCTACCCGGACCATGGGGCTCATTGAGTCACAGGTTTTATGACCCATGCTGGCACTCCATACTAAAAAAAAAATTTCAAGTCGCTACTGAGAGCCAGAAGGGTGTTAACTCATATCTTGTATCTTGTACCTTGTAGATATAATCCCGATGGCAGCTATCATACAGCTAAACTGGGAGTTTAGCTGTAACACAGAGTTAACGCCCTTTTGGATCTGAACACAATTAGTAATGGTAAGAAAGCAAATTATTTTCAGAGGCAGATGTCAGACTCAGGGAGAGATGAGAGGAGGGTCAAAGTGGTCCGGGTCCCTCTCCCCCTTTCTTTGTTGTCAGATTTGGACCTGCCCTCTTGTTTTATGGTTGATGACCTTCTTTTGTGCTTGCCAGACTATTGGGGAATTGGAGCTCCTCTCACCTCCCATTTTTAACATTTTTATATATATATTTTTTACAAAATCCTGGATCTGCTCTGCATTTAAACCATAATCCATGAATAGAGGAGTTCAAAAAATTACATCCAAGCAAATAAAAAGTCATTTGGCTAATAGTAGAAGTGTCGCAGTCGAGTGGTTTAAGCACTTGACTTGAAATTTGAAGGTCATGGTTTGATCCCCAACATGGCACTAATGTCCTTTGGCAAGGCATTAATCTTCATTTGCCACACTCGACCCAGGTGAGGTAAATCGGTACCTAGTAGGAATTAATTCCTTGGAATGCTACAGCACTGTAATGGCAGCTAGGCTGAAGCCGGGGTAATAAATAATTTCCCTCGGAATATAAATGCCTATTATTATTATTAGATTAAAATCTAGTCTTCTCCGTTAAAGATTAACTTGAGTTCTGGTAAAAAAGAGAAAATTAATTCTCACAGAATCTAACGAAACTTACAGTGAATGTTCAAGATTACAAATAAATGTCATGTGCCAAAACAATTTTGGAAGAAAATGTATACCAGCTGAGTAATGAGCATAGAAAGATAAGGAAATCAAGGCAGTGCTAGCCCCGACAACATTTGTGTTGTCCCATATACATCTTTCTGTGTACAGTGATTGTTACTTTTCCAAGACTGGGCCAAATATATGATGATTTTGATGACTCCAGAACCTTGCAGTACACACCAATACTTACATGCTATATGATCAACTTTTTCTGATCCATTCCACACCTTTTCTTTCACAATGCAATCACATTACCAGAACTCACCTTTATCTTTAATCAGAAAAGAGCATAGAGATCATGAGACACACATCCATGCAAATATTTGCTTCATAAACGTAAACTGCATATCTTGACCGATTGAACCCATATCTAAAACACAAGATTAAATCAATCGAAGAAGCCTAAACTGTTGATGAGCTGAGCATATTTCTTGACCCTTTGTAGATATTTCTACCCTTGCATGCTGACACAAACTTGATTCAAGTTTGGTTGAATTCTGCTCAATGGTTCTTGCGTTATTGCGGTAAAGAAAAGCAGGATGGGTAGATGTACGAAGGACAATGATTCCGGTACCACCTTGGGGGGCTGAGCGATAGAAATAGAGTCTATTCTTGCAGAGTAATACTGCAGATATGACTTTTGCTTACTTACTTGTGTCCTAAAAACCCATAGTTTACTCCTACAAATAACTAGATGGAAATTCGATTGCGCGCAGTCGAAAATGATGGCTCCGTCATAGAGCAGTTTTACAAACCAAAACAGAAGCAAATTTTCAAATTCAAGTTTGATTGTAATCCATTAACAGGTTCTCAAAGTCTCGTGATTACAAACTATTTCTCATATACATGTATAACCCTTTGAACTTTGACCTCAGGACCCTAAAATCTAATCAGCTCATTGGCTTTGCAAGATACATACATGTCTTGAGTTTGATGGTGATCCGTCCATTAATTCTAATAATAATGCGATCACAAGCTATTTTTTTATACATAATACATATACATAATGAGCCCTGTGACCTTTGACCTATGACCTTGTGACCCCCAAAATCTAATCAGTTCATCGTCTCTGCAAGATACATACATGACCCAAGTTTGGCAGGAATCCATTGATCAGTTCTTGAGATAATGCGATCATGAGAACGGGACGTACGGACAACCCAAAAAAAACATAATGCCTCCGGCTACTTCGTAACGGAGGCATAAAAATCAACTTACCTCTTCACTGCTAGACATCGGTTCCAAGTCTATACCTCCCTCTCTGGCCCAGTTGACTAGGGTTGCTAGGCAACCATCAGGGTTCTCTTTGAAGTGGAGATGGGATAGGAGATACGGTGACACATAGAGCAGCAGACAGGGTTGCAGATCCCACGACACAAGGTCTAAGTAATACAAGAAGAATAAGTATGCCAATGGACATGCAAAGCACATCTAAGTTTATAACATTCTTGAATGATTCATTTCTACAAGTATTGTATTGTAGTTTCTTGAAAATACTGCTATACTTTTGTGTTTTTGCTTTCCCTACCTTTATTTATTCATTTGTAACCTGTTTTATTCCTTTGTCATTACTTGAATATTGATGATAAAACAAATTGTGCATTCTATTTCAATAAATTGATTTGATTCAAATAAATGTTTGATTTGTGTTTTTTTGTTTTATATGTAAGTGAGTCTACGTCTCTCTCTGCTTGCACATTATAATGGTGGTTGTTATTTTACCTGACTGCTGAGGAAGCATAAATGCTTTTTAGAAAGCAACCAGAGGATCAACGGCTTTAAGTCCTCTCCAAGGGACCTGGTAATGAGGATCAATGACTTTAACCAAAGGGCACTAGCGCACCGATTTGGTTTTGAATTCTGGTCGCCGGAATACGAGACCACTGCTCTACCGACTGAACTATGGCGCCTCCTCAATAGCCATATAGCCCACAACAATAATTTACTCAAAATGAAATCTCAATTTCATTGTGATGACATTATGTAGTCGCAATGTCCTCTATACACAGTGCAAATGTTGACTATTCTAGGTATCAGATAAGTGAATTACACCGAGATGGCACCTACCAACGTCATCACTGAGCAGGAAGCTGTACACACGTCTGTAGGTTTCTGCCATGGTTTGGAGGATATCCATAGAAACAGGCCCCTCCTTCAAGCGCAGAAGCATTGACCAATCAGATGCAGGTTGGGTTACTTTCATCTTTAATAGGATAATGACACAATGTAAGAATATGGCCTATCAAGGACTAACATCACCCACAGTGCTCTATTTGATAGCATATCACACTGCTTACAGTGTACTAATCACCAAAACACGTTTTCCTATTGATGAAAGGGATTCTATGTCAATATACAATATACATAATATGAACTTCTACCAACAGATATTACATTTTAAGTATACTCTCAGTAAGCAGTAAAACCACTTATTGAGTAGACCAGTGGACGCACACCTACGCGCTCACACAGAATAAAGCTTGTACAAAACCCAAGTCGGACTAGGGTTCTGTATGTAACGTTTAATTCAATCCTTTATTTTCTTCATACTCCTTAACTGTTAACCTATAGAATAATAATAATAATAATAATAATAATAATTGTAAATTTATAATGCGCAGTTTCTATATGTATATACTCAACTGCAAGGCAAACATCATGACTGCTATCAATATCAATACACATATTATTAATCTTACATCCATTCATTCTACCAGTCATCACATCATATTATACAACTGTTTCTGACACTTTTAACATCGTTCATGTTTACAGGTAATAATCATTCTCTTTGACAACATTCCAATGCTTGCCTGCAAAATGATAAATCAGAAGAAAAATCCTCCAACCCATATTACTCATATACATGTACCTCATTGTTAGCACATGTATCCACATCTGTTAGGACATTGTTTAACTTCCTCAGGAAAGGCTCCAGCTCTGTAGTGAATTCTGCAAAGTCTAAAATAAGAAAATTTAAGGTCAGCTGATGCAACTTGTTTCTACGGTGCATTAGCTTCAAGGAGAGAATTTCAATATAGAATATTGCTTACCTTTCACGTCAGAGGAAACTAGGTATACAGAGCAACATCAAGTAGTAGCTATTAGTTTCTTCATTTTCGCAAGAAAGATTTTTCATATGATCTACAATGTTTGTTGTTTTTCTTTAGTTGTTTTCTGTACATCATTGACTTTTCTACATCTTCTACAAGTAATTCATGTTTTTTCATAACTCTTCTTCATACCAGCATCATTAACTTCCTTGCTACCATTTTATCAACATCTTCATCATCAGTCTCATCAATAATATCATCATCACTATTAACATCAACATCATCATCATCATCATCATCATCATCATCATCATCACAGATGAAATAAAGCCACCCATTGTTACCCAGTCAGACCGCAGCGTGCGCGATAACGAGGCTGTGCGGCAAATTTTACTCAGATTCCCGTTTGGTGAAAAGCTCGCTTACAACGCTCTCGTAAAACACGAGACCAGCCACAGGATTTAGGTAGCATCATTTTGTCGCCCTCGTATGGCTTACAGTGCAATTCATCATGGCGGAATCGTGGGGTAAGTCAATCTCTGAAATATGATACGTTGGTGATGATGATTGTGATGGTGTTGATGGCGACGGTGGAGATGATGGCAATGGTGATGATGTTGGTGGTAAAGGCGATCATGATGGCTATGGTGATGATGATAATGATGACAGTGATTATGATGATGGTGATGATGTCAGTGGTGATGGCGATCATGATGGATACGGTGATGATGATGATGACGGTGATTATCATGATGGTGATGGCGATCATGATGGATACGGTGATGATGATGATGACGGTGATTATGATGGTGATGGCGATCATGATGGATATGGTGATGATGATAATGACGGTGATAATGATGATGGTGATGATGTCGGTGGTGATGGCAATCATGATGGATACGGTGATGATGATGATGGTGATGGTGATGATGATGGATACGGTGGTGATGATAATGATGACGGTGATTATAGTAATGGTGATGTCAGTGGTGAAGGCAATCATGATGGATAGGGTAATAATGATGACGGTGATTATTATGGCAATAATGATCGTGGTTATGATGATGGCGATGATGATCATGATGACGGTGATTATGATGTTGATTGTGATGGCAATGCTAATGATGGTGATGATGATTTAGGTGGTGACGGCGATGATGGCTATGGTGATGATGATAATGATTGTGATGGCGATGACGATTGTGATAATGATGTTAAAGATGAAAATTAGAATTCTACAAGTTTTATTTGAGCCCTAGCCTTCAGCCCACCGCACACTAATATTTCTATCCGAGGGTCATAAACACACAAACAAACCCCGAAAATATATTTTCAGATATTTATTCCGCGGTGACACTTTAAAACAAAATCAAACAGAAAAGAGAATAAGGGAAAGAATTTTGTAATATTTTATTTCCAGGAATACACATGAACTGGAGTAACACAATTGACAAAAGAATTATGAAATGAAATATTACCATCATCGAATGTAAGGGAATTACCAAAAGAAATTCCTGTTTAAGGCTCTTCTCATTAGCCCATGGTTTACAAATATCAAAACACATTTCAGAACTTTTACAACCATGAAATTATTAGCAGGGACGGGAACAATCATATTTTCAATTTTCAATCTACACCCCTCCCCCCGAAAGTTTGTATTTACACAAGCTTATATTTCATAACGAATAATGTGTCTTTTTTCACTTTGTTAAAATGATATCAAAGCCTGGCCAAAAATAGCCTATATAGACACTTAAATCCCATCTTTTGTCCCTAGAGCCGGTATTCTATATTGTACTTGATTGTACTCGTGTGCGTATCCGTATCCAACTTTATTCTTTCCGTTCACTTCTATAATTATGTAGCGCATGAGTATGGTACACAATAATAAGTATGTGGGGCAATACACAGCCTCTACGACCGGGGGTTACGCACACGAGAGTAATTAATGAATATCCTTAATCTCCGTCTATCTTCCGTGCGTGTTCACGTATAGCGCGCAGACTGGCTGGACCGCGAATCGACGCAGAGCTATATATAACGTGGTATCCCCCGGTTGATCTCGATCCGAAACGCTCGTCGATCGGCCATGTCTTATTTTCCGTCGAAGTCTATTATGCATCAGCTACTACTTTGCTAGTTCCTGACTGGTATTGAGACAGACATCGACAGAAAGTATTATATTATGTTAGAAAAATATCTACATTATGTGGTAAGCCAAAATTCAGTGAGACGCACCCCTGATAAAAATGGTTATTTAACATGTATATCCGACTCTTCAAATATTTTTTTTTTTTACACATTTTGAAACTTCACTCACTATTTATTGAATAGTACATTATAATGTTTATAGTTCTGGCTCAATATTAATGACGAATTCAATGTCATTAAATGAATCCTGAGCAAAGCAGAAAGACAAGAACTGTGCCATGTTTTTGCTTATTACGTATTCATGATGAGCAAAAACGTGCATACGACTTGAGTAAATACGGGCGATTTGGCGAGCGCTGCGGTCTGACTGTACCTTTTATTGGTGGCATCAAACGAGCTGTTTTCATGACACATCTAGCAGCAGTTTTTTGAACATCATCATCATCATCTTGGAGAAAAGCTACCACAATGTCCCATAGAGATAATTGGATATCAGCTGCAATAACAAAAAAAGAAACAGAGTTAGAGAGAGAGAGGGAAAGAAAGAGAGAGGGGGGAGAGATAGAGATTGTGTGAGAGAGAGTGAGGAATAGAGAGTGAGAAAGTGAGAGAGAGAGAAAGACACAGACAGACATACAGAGACTGAAATAGGATAGGGAAACCGATACATATATATATATATATATATATATATATATAGATGATTTGTATGTAGTTCAGAGCTCATAAAACCTCACTATAATTAGTTAAAAACCAGCATAGAAAGGTTTTATGAATATGGGCCCAGGCTGGAATCACTTTAAAAAAATTTCAAATAATGCATGACGTTTAAGGGCTTTCGATGAAACCTTAACAAATCAAAGAATTTTACACATAGTAATCTCTCCTCTTCAAACAGTTTAAAATCCAATTGAATAATAAAATAGTTAAAGATTTAACATTATTAATGACTAGTAAAGACAAAAAAGTAGTCCATTAAGAAGAAAAAGAAAAATAAAAGAAGCTACAAAACACTTTTCATTTCTGTTGTTGCCATCAGAGGTTGTAATCTGTAATGTTAAGTTAAACATTTCATCTATTGAAGTTTTATTTCCACTTGATTTACAAAATATTTTGGGTTGCATGCAAAAGGGACGGATCCTTTTTCCTACTTCACCTTCTTTCATATCTTTGATCTGAAAAGTTGTTGTAAAAGTTTTCAGACAAAACAAATAAATGATTCATTGTGAGATAGACCTTGATAGTATTGAAGCATCTTTCCACCTGTTTTGCTATTGACAATGTACTAAAATGCTATCATATTGTTCTTACATACATGAATGAACGGTAACAAATTGCTTGATATTCACTAGCGTCCCCCTCTCTTTCTCTCTCTATCTCTCATTTTGTGTATTTGAATATCTCAGTGATACACCTCATCAAACTTGTCTATTTCTAACTTTCATTAGGATAAAGGTGTTAAAGTAGAGGTGTGGTTGTCTAGTGGATAAGTGACTGGACGGAGGATCACAATGTACAGGGTTTAAATCAGTAGAGGTATGGTTGTCTAGTGGATAAGTGACTGGACGGTGGATCACAATGTACAGGGTTCAAATCAGTAGAGGTGTGGTTGTCTAGTGGATAAGTGACTGGACGGTGGATCACAATGTACAGGGTTCAAATCAGTAGAGGTGTGGTTGTCTAGTGGATAAGTGACTGGATGGAGGATCACAATGTACAGGGTTTAAATCAGTAGAGGTGTGGTTGTCTAGTGGATAAGTGACTGGACGGTGGATCACAATGTACAGGGTTCAAATCAGTAGAGGTGTGGTTGTCTAGTGGATAAGTGACTGGATGGAGGATCACAATGTACAGGGTTTAAATCAGTAGAGGTGTGGTTGTCTAGTGGATAAGTGACTGGATGGTGAATCACAATGTACAGGGTTCAAATCAGAAGAGGTGTGGTTGTCTAGTGGATAAGTGACTGGACGGAGGATCACAATGTACAGGTTTAAATCAGAAGAGGTTTTGTTGTCTAGTGGATAAGTGACTGGACGGAGGATCACAATGTACAGGGTTCAAATCAGAAGAGGTGTTGTTGTCTAGTGGATAAGTGACTGGACGGAGGATCACAATGTACAGGGTTTAAATCAGTAGAGGTGTGGTTGTCTAGTGGATAAGTGACTGGACGGGGGATCACAATGTACAGGGTTCAAATCAGTAGAGGTGTGGTTGTCTAAGTGGATAAGTGACTGGACAGTGGATCACAATGTACAGGTTTCAAATCAGTAGAGGTGTGGTTGTCTAAGTGGATAAGTGACTGGACAGTGGATCACAATGTACAGGGTTCAAATCAGTAGAGGTGTGGTTGTCTAGTGGATAAGTGACTGGACGGTGGATCACAATGTACAGGGTTCAAATCAGTAGAGGTGTGGTTGTCTATTGGATAAGTGACTGGACAGTGGATCACAATGTACAGGGTTCAAATCAGTAGAGGTGTGGTTGTCTATTGGATAAGTGACTGGACAGTGGATCACAATGTACAGGGTTCAAATCAGTAGAGGTGTGGTTGTCTATTGGATAAGTGACTGGACAGTGGATCACAATGTACAGGGTTCAAATCAGTAGAGGTGTGGTTGTCTAAGTGGATAAGTGACTGGACAGTGGATCACAATGTACAGGGTTCAAATTTGTAGAGGTGTGGTTGTCTAAGTGGATAAGTGACTGGACAGTGGATCACAATGTACAGGGTTCAAATCAGTAGAGGTGTGGTTGTCTAGTGGATAAGTGACTGGACAGTGGATCACAATGTACAGGGTTCAAATCAGTAGAGGTGTGGTGTCTAGTGGATAAGTGACTGGATGGTGAATCACAATGTACAGGGTTCAAATCAGTAGAGGTGTGGTTGTCTAGTGGATAAGTGACTGGATGGTGAATCACAATGTACAGGGTTCAAATCAGAAGAGGTGTTGTTGTCTAGTGGATAAGTGACTGGACAGAGGATCACAATGTACAGGGTTCAAATCAGAAGAGGTGTGGTTGTCTAGTGGATAAGTGACTGGATGGTGGATCACAATGTACAGGGTTCAAATCAGTAGAGGTGTGGTTGTCTAGTGGATAAGTGACTGGATGGTGGATCACAATGTACAGGGTTCAAATCAGAAGAGGTGTGGTTGTCTAGTGGATAAGTGACTGGATGGTGGATCACAATGTACAGGGTTCAAATCAGTAGAGGTGTGGTTGTCTAGTGGATAAGTGACTGGACAGAGGATCACAATGTACAGGGTTTAAATCAGTAGAGGTATGGTTGTCTAGTGGATAAGTGACTGGACGGGGAATCACAATGTACAGGGTTCAAATCAGTAGAGGTGTTTGTCTAGTGGATAAGTGACTGGACGGTGGATCACAATGTACAGGGTTTAAATCAGTAGAGGTGTTGTTGTCTAGTGGATAAGTGACTGGACAGAGGATCACAATGTACAAGTTTAAATCAGTAGAGGTGTTGTTGTCTAGTGGATAAGTGACTGGACGGTGGATCACAATGTACAGGGTTCAAATCAGAAGAGGTGTTGTTGTCTATTGGATAAGTGACTGGATAGTGGATCACAATGTACAGGGTTTAAATCAGTAGAGGTGTGGTTGTCTAGTGGATAAGTGACTGGATGGTGAATCACAATGTACAGGGTTCAAATCAGAAGAGGTGTTGTTGTCTAGTGGATAAGTGACTGGACAGAGGATCACAATGTACAGGGTTCAAATCAGTAGAGGTATGGTTGTCTAGTGGATAAGTGACTGGACGGAGGATCACAATGTACAGGTTTAAATCAGAAGAGGTATTGTTGTCTAGTGGATAAGTGACTGGATGGTGGATCACAATGTACAGGGTTCAAATCAGTAGAGGTGTGGTTGTCTAGTGGATAAGTGACTGGACGGAGGATCACAATGTACAGGGTTCAAATCAGAAGAGGTGTTGTTGTCTAGTGGATAAGTGACTGGACGGAGGATCACAATGTTCAGGGTTTAAATCAGTAGAGGTGTGGTTGTCTAGTGGATAAGTGACTGGACGGGGGATCACAATGTACAGGGTTCAAATCAGTAGAGGTGTGGTTGTCTAAGTGGATAAGTGACTGGACAGTGGATCACAATGTACAGGGTTTAAATCAGTAGAGGTGTGGTTGTCTAAGTGGATAAGTGACTGGACAGTGGATCACAATGTACAGGGTTCAAATCAGTAGAGGTGTGGTTGTCTAGTGGATAAGTGACTGGACAGTGGATCACAATGTACAGGGTTCAAATCAGTAGAGGTGTGGTTGTCTATTGGATAAGTGACTGGACAGTGGATCACAATGTACAGGGTTCAAATCAGTAGAGGTGTGGTTGTCTATTGGATAAGTGACTGGACAGTGGATCACAATGTACAGGGTTCAAATCAGTAGAGGTGTGGTTGTCTAAGTGGATAAGTGACTGGACAGTGGATCACAATGTACAGGGTTCAAATTTGTAGAGGTGTGGTTGTCTAAGTGGATAAGTGACTGGACGGTGGATCACAATGTACAGGGTTCAAATCAGTAGAGGTGTTTGTCTAGTGGATAAGTGACTGGACGGTGGATCACAATGTACAGAGTTTAAATCAGTAGAGGTGTTGTTGTCTAGTGGATAAGTGACTGGACGGTGGATCACAATGTACAGGGTTCAAATTTGTAGAGGTGTGGTTGTCTAAGTGGATAAGTGACTGGACGGTGGATCACAATGTACAGGGTTCAAATCAGTAGAGGTGTTTGTCTAGTGGATAAGTGACTGGACGGTGGATCACAATGTACAGAGTTTAAATCAGTAGAGGTGTTGTTGTCTAGTGGATAAGTGACTGGACGGTGGATCACAATGTACAGAGTTTAAATCAGTAGAGGTGTTGTTGTCTAGTGGATAAGTGACTGGACGGAGGATCACAATGTACAAGTTTAAATCAGAAGAGGTGTTGTTGTCTAGTGGATAAGTGACTGGACGGTGGATCACAATGTACAGGGTTCAAATCAGAAGAGGTGTTGTTGTCTATTGGATAAGTGACTGGATAGTGGATCACAATGTACAGGGTTCAAATCAGTAGAGGTGTGGTTGTCTATTGGATAAGTGACTGGACTGGGGATCACGATGTACAGGGTTCAAATCTCAGCAGGGCACATACATCCTTCAGCAAGACGTTTAGCCACTCTCCACCCAAATGTAAATGGGTGCATGATATGTTTGAGGGCTAGTTACTTTGCCGGCTCAGCTGAAACCAGGGTAATAATGTCTAAGCATCTTGAGCGTCACTGCATGACAGATATGAGTGGTTTATAAGTGGCCATTATTAATACATATATCGTTATTAGTTATCTATTTTGGTCAATGCTGTTTATGGTATTCTTCTATCTGAAAATGCCATTTTCTGTATTTCAATATAAATTAACAAGGAAATTGAACCTGCAGTAGGCCAATCAATAAATATTTGTACCTATATGTGGTTGAACAACACCAAGCAGTGATACAGCAGAATGATGAAAAAGTTTGGCTACTGCACATCTGAGCTGAGCGCTTCTCCCTGATTGGCTACATGACTTGATCAGGTTTGCCCAACTTTGGAATAGGGATAGATCATTATCTGCAGGCTGTGACACAAAGAATGAAAATAACCCAACTCATTTTAACAGAAAAAAAGTGAAGAACACCTGCAGAAGTCAAGCTTCATATTTCATCATTGCCTATATTTGAGATAAATAACACTCCAAAAATATTTATTAAAGCTAAATGATTAAACATGTAGTGAAAGTGAAATCTGCACTAAGAAAACACAAGTTAAGATAGCATCATATTACACATCAAAACAAGTTATGTTGAATCTTGGCAAACTTTCACAACAATGCGTCACTGAAACCGTGAATATACCCAGTTTGTGTTATCTGATGGGCAGATTTAACATACGGTACACAACTAAGTCATGAATTTAACCTGATATAGTATCATAACATGAGAATATTTGCCAAATTTTCATTTTCATATTGTATTGCTACAGGAAAGTAATTCTAATCAGGAGTCATATTTGAAGAAAAAGGTACCAGTACCATGTGAGTCAAAAAAAGTTTACACCAAGAAAATTGCTAATTATTTCAAAAATCATCTATGAAGAGTAAATTATTATACATCTTATGAAAGAGTGTTTTATCCCAAATCATTTGTGTGTGGTATGTGTTCACGCTTGGATGAACAGGAGGCATTGTTTGCGAGGGTGCAAAAATCGACTTGCGCCAAAGTGATGCCTACAGTACCGTATTTGCCGGCGTAAAGGCCGCAGTATTTTTGGAAGAGAAAATATCAAAAAGTCGGGGTGCGGCCTATGCAGCGAAAGAGTAAAAAAAACAAAAAACTTGCAAGTCAAAACCATGAAACACAGCACGAATTTGTACATATGGGACAACAATGAAAGGTGGTGGACATTTCTAGAATAATTGCCTAGAATAACACATGTCTTACCGACCATTATGTGTTATATTTATTAAATGAAGTGCAAAGTTTTGCCAATCTCGTAAATAAAATTCATAACTTACCAACCAAACTCAACTGGTAGATCTAGATTTAAGTTTTTGCCGTAGCTAAAGCCTCTGGATCGCGTGAGCAAACCTATGGCGCAATGCATAAGAGAGAGGCTCAATGTATACATGAGAAAAAGCTGCAAGCTGTAGCATCAGTGCGGGATGGCCGAGCGGTCTAAAGCGGTGATTTTGGTCACATCAACGTTTGTAGGGAAGGGTTCAAATACAACCACTGACAATTTTTTTTTTTTTTTCTTTAATTTAAAAAATCGGGGGTGCGGACTATGCGGTGGTGAGGCCTTATCGCCGGCAAATACGGTATGTATTATGTTGGGATTAGGGGAGTGAGAGAATGAACTGAAAGTATCAAATGAAATGCATTGCATTTGCTTTTTGAAGAAGTAAAATCACGCACACACAAATATGCGCATAAATGTTCATTGATGTTTTATATTCGATATTTGATATGTGTGGCCCGATTTATTTTGTTAGGGATGTTATTTGGATCTGCAAAGACCGAATTAATACCCAAATCCCAATTGTTTTATTCAAACATCACATAACCACTTTGGCGCAAGTCGATTTTTGCACTCTCACAAACAATGACTGCTGTTCATTCAAACGTGAACACATACCACACAAAATGATACTAAATGATTCGGGATAAAACACTCTTTCATAAGATGTATAATAATTTACTCTTCATAGATTATTTTTAAAACAATAAGCAATTTTCTAGGTGTAAACTTTTTTTTGACTCACACACTGTATATGGTTGCATTGTGTGGTAAATTTGGTAGGAAGCATTATTCTCCCACTTTTTATCAATTTCTAGATGGAATGAACTCCCGTATCAGCAAAAACATTCATACGTTGAATACAGCTAGTATATATAAGCTGATCTTCAATCTTTAACCAGCATTCTACAGGAGTATGAAAAATGAATAGATAACAAAAACTTTGGCACGAAAATCAAGCTTGACTATTGTTGTACGAGTACACAACTATCTAATAGGAGACTGGCGTTGTTTAAATTGAAGGGAAATTCCACCCTGATATTCGTTTGGTTTTAAAAGAAGCAGAAAACAAGAGAAACAAATTAGTAAAAGTTTGAGCAAAAATAAGAAAGCTATGATTTTTTGAAGTTGCTATACATCAAACACAAATTGGCAACTGTGATGTATTTTGCGAGCTTCACTCCAATTTGCTCTGTAGGGAAAATTAAATTAACTTTTATTTTCTTAGTTTATTGATTACGGTATAGATTTGTTTCAAACAGGGGTTGTATGAAAAAACATGTTTGCAATAATTATATCTAGGGGAAAATATAAAGTTTTGAAGTTTAAAAAACAATTCATAACTTTCTAATTTTAATCTGTTTTTGCTCAAACTTTCAATGACCTGTTTCTCTCTCTTTTTCTGCTTCTATTAAAACTAACTTAATATCAGGGTGGACTTCCCCTTAAAAATAGAATATATAGAATATATTTACCTGAGAAGAATAATCCATCAGAGGAAGTACTGCACCACTCAAGGAGATAACACTACTAAGAATCTCTTCTCTGCACACAGATTTTTAAAAAAAAGATAGATTTGGACTAATCTTGGTCATGTTGGGAATATATGAACAACTAGATGGATCTTTGACTGCATGCAGTCTAAAATTATGCCTCCGCAATGGAGCAATTTTACAAACTCAAAACAGAAGCGATTTTATAAATTCAAGTATGATTGTAATCCATAAACAGGTTCTCAGAATATTGTGATTACAAGCTACTTTTCATATACATGTATGACCCTTTGATCTTTGACCTCATAACCCTAACATCTAATCAATTCATTGGCTCTGCAAGATACATACATATCTTGAGCTTGAAGATAAGGCCTAAAATAAAAACTTGTTGTATTGCCCTTTGCGACCGACCCAAAAATCTGAAAATCTATGGCCGGCATTTTAAAAAAGTTTTTTTTTTTGTAACCGTTTTAAATATTTTTTATATTAATGAATAACAAAATATGTATTTTGCTTGTTTAAATGGTATATATATATATATATATATGCATAAAATCAAATTATTCCCAAATTCTCACTCGTCTTCTGCCCTAGTTTCAAAATCCTACTAGCGTAAACATGCAAGTAGACCCCGGCCACGTGTAGGTGTTAATACCATGCACTGCACCAGCTAGAAACCAGGGAGATTTGGGCGATGGTTGCTGTTTAGAGTTTTCTATGGAAAGGCTCACAACACTTTCATACTCATGACACATTTTGAAGGCATTAAAAAACATTGAAAATAACGGAAAGACAAGTTGATAGGACATATACATACAATTTGGGATCCGTTGATATATATTGCCTGACAGCCCCAAATCGAGCTTTCAAAGAGTGGATATTAAAGGTAACAAAGTTTTGAGAAAAAAAATTGAAAATTGGGTGGAAAGTGATTCTTTACAATATTGATATACTTGGATGCCCCTGTGAATGTATTATAAGCACTAGAAAATTTAGTCCTGCTTTCAAGAAAAATTGAATATACAATTTGAATGGAATGATGGCGCTGAAACACATGTATTACATTAAAGCATTAAAAACTGAGAAATATTTGCCAAAAGAGGGCAGGAAAAAAACCAAAAACAAACAAACATTAAAAACTGAAAAAATATCAGCCCAAAGAGAGCGACAAACAAAAAAGTTTTAAAAAAAAACTTTTCCGACCGACCGACCCATGTTTTGGCACCTAAAGGGCAATACAACAAGTTTTTATTTTAGGCCTAATTGGTCCATCAGTTCTAATAATAGTGTAATCACAAGCTTTTTTTTGCATACATAGTGAGCCCTGTGACCTCTGACATTGTGACCTCAAAATCTAATCAGTTCAGTGGATCTGCAAGATACATACATAACCCAAGATTGGAGGTAATCCATCAATCGGTTCTTGAGATAACGCAATCACAAGCTATTTTTGCATACCTAATGAGCCCTGTGATTTTTGACCTTTTGACCTTGTGACCCCAAAATCTAATCAGTTCATTTGCTCTGCAAGATACATACAGGACCCAAGTTTGGGGGGAATCCATCAATGGGTTCTTGAGAAAAACGTGATCACAAGCTATTTTTGCATAAATAATGAGCCCTGTGACCTTTGACCTTGGACCTCGTGACCCCAATATCTAATCAATTCATTGGCTCTGCAAACATGGCCCAAGTTTGAAGGGAGATAAGGTGATCAAGAGAACGGGACGTACGGACAGACAACCCCACAAAAGAGCGTTAAATTTCAAGATCTTGTCACACAAGGAGAAATTATGAGTCGTTAAGTAATTGTAAAAGAATATAACCAGAACGTCAATGACGTAGCGCTCATCCGCATCTCGCAACAACAAATATTGTAAATTTTATGTGGTACACTTTTGAACTGGTCAAAAAATAAAAATTAATCAATGGAGCAAAATCTCAAAATTCTGTGCAGAGTTTTAGTAAACCAAATTTAGCTCTACCAGATAAAGCAAACCAAATAAAAATCGGTCAAGTAATGAGGGAGAAGAAGCAACTTTTGTCTTTTCTGAAATAAATTTGCATAAATTACCATAATTAATTAATGGAGAACAATTTCAAAATTCTGTAACGATTTTTCGTGTACCAAAGTTAGCTCTACGATATGAAGCAAACCAAATCAAAATCGGTCGAAATATGAAGGAGAAGAAGCATTTTTTGTGATTTTTAAATTATTTTCGGAATAAATTTGCATAAATTACCATAATTAATCAATGAAGCAAAATCTCAAAATTCTGTGTAGAAGTTTAGTGTACCAAAGTTAACTCTACCAGATAAAGCAAACCAAATCAAAATCGGTCGAGAAATGAAGGAGAAGAAGCATTTTTTGTGATTTCGAATAAATTTGCATAAATTAGCATAGATAATGAATTTCACGATTCTGTGTAGAAGTTTTAAATCCCCCTCATAGCCCTATCATATGAAACAATCAGAATCAAAATCGGTTGAAAAATAACGAAGAAGAAGCATTTTGAAAATTGTGGACGGACGGACGGACGACGGACGCCACGGCATGGCATAAGCTCATCGGGCTCTTCGGGCCGGATGAGCTAAAAACATTGAAGAAACTGAAGTCTTTTTTACTCAACATATGATTAGCTAGAAATTTTCTAATTTTTTCAACATTTCTGCAAATGACATAAGAATTGACATATGTCTAAATGTACTTTTAAAAATTTCATCTTAAAGATATCAAAATTTTCCATTTCTATATAATTTACTGGACATTTTTATTTTCTTCCCACAAATATGTTAACAGAAAACATAGCCTAGACTCACCTTGCATCGTTTTCATGGGCTAAATCAAGACATTGCCTGACAAACATCTTGGGTTCTACTCCTAAAGGTGATGATGATGATGAAGAAGAGGGTAACCGTGATGACAGAACCTCCGGGATAAGAATACTTAAAGCTTCACATACCTAAATGAAACACAAGCAGAAAAAATGTTCATAGCTTTATAATTCTGCAAAACTTTAATTTTAATCTTAAAGCCTGTACTCCATTTATACAGGAAGGAGAAACAACAATTTCATCTACTGGCAGTCTATAAAAACATTTGTGTACTTAAATTACAACAACATGACAGAATCTGGTGAAGCACTGCTAACAAAATCTTTGAAAATTATATATATAATTGGGGATATCATCTTTGACTGTTATCCTAACATTATACACTGTAGTCTTTATAGCCTCACTCTCTCTCTCAAAAGTTTTGAGTACTTACAAACATCAATACAACCCTTATTAATATGGTTAAACCATGTCACTACGGCTTCAGTTTATACACAGAATGGCAAGACCAAAAATACTAAAATATCATTGTTGGTAATAATAAATAAAATAATAATAATAAAAATAATCATAATAATAATATGTCTTGTTAACCCAGGGTAGCCTCATCAATATGAATACTGCTTACCCTGAGGGCCCTGCAATCATATTAGTAGCCAGGCTTTTGCTGAGCTACCATGATAAGGTGCTAAAGCCTTTAAGGAATTTCTTCCTACCAGGTACCCATTTTGTTTTGTTTTGTTTTAAAAAAGGACCCTCTCCCCCTTTTCATGTTCCTTAACCACTTTGTCTGTTTGTGTTTAATTTTTTTTTAAAACCTGTTCTCCTAAAGAGTAGCACATGCAACAACATACCTTGGCTAAACATTCATGGTCCTCTTCTTGCAACATCATATCCATTAACCGCTCTATCAATTCCAGCTTATGGCACACCCCTATATGGGCATTGGTATCTCCCAGTATTCCATCTGACCCTTGACATGTGGACTGTTCCATTACTCTTATGAGGTGAGTCAAGGTGACCATTCTCACTTCAGGGAATGGAGTATAGAGGAAATAGAGATGCAAGCCCTTCATGAATCCCAACTCAGAGGGGCTGCTTTCAGGTTGTTGATGTTGCTGTTCATGTTGCTGATGACACATTTGTGGTTGCTGTAGTGAACGTTGCATACCATCTGTTGCCAGGTAAACTGAATAACAATCTATCCTCTCCTCTCTCTGTTCTACTCCTGGCATTTCCATGAGCAATATTGTATCCCTCAGCTTGAAACACAGGGAAGCAAATGTTGCCTGTCTTAGGGGAAACCCTGGACAGCTTGATGAAGACATCTCATGTAGTCCTCCATCATCAACTTCTCCTTTGGCCAATTTTAAGATCGAGGTAAGTAGAAGACTTCGATTTGTCTTGTGTACAGTTGCCTCTGAGGTGGATGTTGTTTCTGTTGTCATTGAGGAAGTGGTATGCAACCATGTGGTATCCACAAAGAAATCCTTGAGAATTGCTATAAATGCTGCTTGTGTAATGTAGGACTTGTTCTGTCTGCAGATTGAAAAGTCAATGGTACCAATATAAATTAAACTAGACTGGAATTTTTCACTGCTGACGAATTAAGTGATCTGCAGCAGACACTGAGAGGGGGAGGTTTTCTATTCCTGACCAAGGGGAAGTAGTGATGAAAAATTGATGGTGATTGGATGGTGTTTTTTTAATAGAAAACCCGACCACAAAAAATGCACAGAAAGAAAAAATGAATATTATATGAATGATACATGCATATGAGTTCATTATAAGATTTATCTGCACTCAACTTGAGGATATGTGTATCTATTGCATGAAGCTGTTAGGCTGAGTGCGATAGATACACACAGCATCAACGAGGGCGGATAGATCGTATAATGAACGAATGAAAACATGCATCATTTGTTTTATACAACAAAACTCCTAGATCCTTTTCAGAATTCATTCAAGATTGTTTTGTGACAGTATATGGCTGACAAATAAATCTCAAGTTTAATAAGGCTTCATTTAGTGCGCACGCATATCTATCGATATAGCAAGCGCACTTACCTCTATACCCATTTACGCATAGTGCTGCACAAGAATGGGCCCATGCACACGCAGCATTAAGCGCTCTAACCTCTACGCACACTACTGTGCACTGACAAAGAGTGCAATAGGACCGGAAAATATTAAACGCTTTTTCATGAATCAGCGTGCAATAGGCTCAGTAATGAATCACACGTGACTGCGCATGACCAATCATTTGATTAGGATCTGGGAATGAGTTGTATAAATATAAATAATAAAGATTCTGACGAAATCAAGAGGTGATCTGCAGATCTGCTGCGGATCATCTGATAATTTAACTTCATATAAGGTATAATATTCATACGCATACACATATCGGTAATATCAATTTTACTACTATTTACACTAAAACAACACTGTACAACTAATGTTTAAACCACAACATATCATTGCTTTGAGTTGGGCATCATATATGATAGGGTGAAATCTTACAGAGTAATGCTCAGAAACACAACTCAATTGACTGCATCATAATACGTATGATTTTATGGAAAAGAAAATCGATAATATTTCATTCTTATCATCTTATTTCTTCATCTGGCATGTATCATTTAACAATTTATATGCTACACATATAATATCCATATGCCACACTATATTTATTATATACCAAATGCTTCTAGATTATTCAACTGTTTCCAGCGCAACATTATGGTAATCTATACCTGTGTTTAAAAGGTTGTCATGGAGCTTATTAAGCCTCTGTGTTGCACAAATCCTTCCTTTAATTGTTTTGTGCAAAAAGGCAAAAAGGTAGCGTAAGCAATTGAAGTATTAAACAGCATGTAATGTAGGCATACCTTGATGTTAGCCACATGAGTTGATGAAACCTTGGAAGGACAGTAGATGTGATATCGTCCAGGATAGAGTGAGGTAGGTTGGTGTCTTTGGTGTACTTCTCCAATAAGCAGTGGATCTAAGTATGTAAAAATATACAGTCAAACCTGCTTCAGCCACCACCTGTATAAAAAGACCAGCCAGCTACAACGACCATATTTATTGTTTCCCTTGGATTTGTTCCTCATTGAAACCTGCATTGAATGGACCTGTATGTGAAGACCACCTGCTCAAAAAGACTGCTGTAATTGTATCCCTTGAGCGGTCATTATTAAACAGGTTTCACTGTAATAGAATGATGATAATACACTGTTTTCTCTCACACATTATCACATAATCAACAATATGTTGATGAAACTATCACTCTTGCTAAAGGTTTTTAGTCTTCATTAGCACATTTTACCAGTAATACCTTCTACAAGATACCAACTTATTATACCTGGGTCAAGAGAGTCAATTGAAGATAAAATGCTTTATCTGAGTTTAAGACAATCGTGAGACTGAACATACTGAACCATGCAGTGTTAAATCCTCACAATCCACATCCTTGCAGAGTATAGATTACATTTGTTGTGCAGAGGTTCATTAGACATTCTACCCCTGCACTCCAGTTGAGGTTGTATGCATCTATCATACAAAGCTTTGTACGATAGATGCACACAACCTCAACAAGAGCAGATAGATCCTATAATGAACGAATAAAAACATGCATCATTTCCACAATATGCTCTTGGGTTATAAGCTGAAATACTACCGTGTGAGTCAAGAAAAAGTTTACACCTAGAAAATTGCTAATCATTTAAAAAATCATCTATGAACAGTAAATTATTATACATCTAATGAAAGAGTATTTTATCCCAAATCATTTGGTATCATTTTTGTGGGGTATGTGTTCATGCTTGGATGAACAGGAGGCATTGTTTGCGAGAGTGCAAAATTCGACTTGCGCCAAAGTGATGCCTACAGTATGTGATATATTGGGATTAAAGTGAGAGAATGAATTGAATGTATCAAATGAGATGCATTGCATATGCTTTTTGCGGAAGCAAAGTCACACACACACACGCGCGCACAATTGTTTGTTGATATTTAATATTATATATTTGATGTGTAGCATGATTAATTTAGTTATGGATTTTATTTGGATGTGCAATGACCGAATTAATACCCAAATCCCAATTTGTTTTATTTAAACATCACAAAGCAACTTTGGCGCAAGTCGATTTTTGCACCCTCGCAAACAATGCCTCCTGTTCATCCAAACGAGAACACATACCACTCAAAAATGATACTAAATGATTCCGGATAAAACACTCTTTCATAAGATGTATAATAATTTACTCTTCATAGATTATTTTTTAAATAATTAGCAATTTTTTAGGTGTAAACTTTTTTTGACTCACACTGTATATCAGGTGATTTGGTCCGCATTTCAGAAATAGAGATTTTAAAAACAAACTCTTAGATCCTTGTTATTTGATCATGTAAAAAGAAATAATTTCAAAATTGTTTTGTGTCATTATCACTGACAAATAATCCTTGAGTTTAATAGATCTATGTAAGTGCGCACATAGAGATAAGCACACTTTAAACCTCTACATGCATCAATGCACAGTGCTACGCATGTATTAACACACACACAGTATAAGCACATCAACCTCTACATGCACTACTGTGCATCCTGTACTTGTTGGATAGTCCTAGAAAACTATTGCATGCTATTTGATGAAAAAATGTGGGATAGTCTCCATGAATGAATCTCACATGACCACGTTTGACTAGTCATTTGATTACCGGTAGGATCAAGGATTGAGTTGGATAAAAACAGATATAATGGGAAACTTGTTTCAGTAATTCAACAATTACTGACCTGCATAAGGATTCCATGTATAGCATTGGGATGTGGTGGAGGATGATTCGCTGCCCCAAGTAGCATGTCTATGAGGTGATGTAATGTATGGACTAGCTGGTTGGGTGGGACCAGCGGAACAAGGGCAGTAGCTGCAATGCTGCGGGTCTTATGTACTGCACTACATCCAGCTCTATGCACAATACAAATAGAATTCAAGATTAATTTATTTCACTTACCACTCATCAATGTTTCACTAATCAATATACAAAATTATGTATGCCATGAAACATTCTTGTGAAGTTTGTAAATTCATCACACAGGAGAGTTTACTGTGGAAGAAAGAATTTAAGAGATACTGATCCTAATGATGAAGGTGAAATTAATATTCTCATCAACAAGACTATCATGAAAAGGAGAGAGATCGGCTACCATGAACATAATTATGTGCCTATAAACTCGACCTCCGCTGTCTCCAAATACGAATAAGAAAAGCAAAATATTTTACTAAATTTGTTGCAGACATATTAACACAAATTATTCATCTCATATATAATTTGAACTTTAATAACCATTATCATTCACACGCCATTTCATCTTGCTCTCATTAAAACATTTGCATGGCATCAGAACCATGTAACAAAAAGATGTATTCAATGAGGACAAGGCACCATGTCACCGTAGCTTCCTTCAGTCATGAAGCCACCTCTAGCCCAAATATGGGCAAACACAACCCCTTTCTTTCATGAGGGAACTCTGCACAATGGACATGACATTTCTTCATCTTCAGCTCTGGGTAAACGCTTGGTAAGAAATACTACACATACTCACTCCACAGAGAGCCTAACGGCTAAAGAAGGGACTGATCTATAGACAGCGGATCAACAAGCTTTACGGATGCTCCTCTCATAAAACTTTGCTAGTAACATAAGGCAAACAAGATATAGTAATACCAAATCAAGTTTGCACACAATCAAACAAACAGAATACTATCTCAGTTGAGTAATACATATTTCTATTTAACTTATCTTGTCAAAGTTAAATTAAACACATATACAAGGCATCATAGACGCACATACCACACAGCAAAATAATAACTTAAACCAATAATAATAATAATAACTTAAACCAAACACATTCAAGGAGTGTTAAACTATCAAATAACATGCATTATCTTCAATACTAGCAGTTGATAGGTCAAGAGGTCAGAGTTCACTCAATGACCTGAGCTCTTACCTGATAACATAGGGCAAGAATGGTGTCATACTCATGTTGCTGTTATTGGTATCATTGGGTGAAGGGTAAAGCCTTGATAATAATAGCAGAGATGGGAACAGACTGGGGTGTAGAACAGTCACACCAGGTCTGGAAATAACAACGGGTCAAGACAACAATAATTACCGCCACAAGATAAATATTTCTTTCTTACATTATCTAAATGCCAAATTACCCTATAGAGAACTGACATAAGATATTGCACATTGATTGTTGATTTTGTAATACTTGCCCCTTTCTCATCTTTTTGTTACTTTGAATGGGAATGAAAGAAAGGAAACAAGTGAAATGTGTACAAATAACATCCCGTTCTTGTATAGATTATAATAGACTTTATACAATGTTCCTATGTGCTTCCAAAGACCTTTGGAAATCAGCACATGGTACAGTTGAAAGAATAATCCTAGCAGCAGAGATGCCAACCCTATAGGAGATGGTTGTCAGTAACATTTACCTCATTTGTCACAAATGGAGGTCTTTCCGGACAAAAGACAACGCAGCATATTTTTTGCGCAAAACCTACACAAACACCCAATCACTCTTACTACATTTCAAAACTACCATTTTTAAGTTCAAAATAAAAAGGTGCATCAAAACGTTTTTAAAAATCTGTTTGCAGTCATAGGATCTCCTCCTCAGGTACTTGCTCTTTTCAGTGAATCCATGATAATATTTTTAACAACATTCTGTTTATGTGATCTAATTGAGACTATAATGTTTATAATGCAGGAGGGCGCCAGAGGCCCTCCTGATAAGCTTGTTAATAAACTATGCAGCCTGACTGAGTTAAGGCACAGGAAATCACAGTTTGTAGAGTTGTTATTCAAGACTTCCTCATTACAACTAACAACTAAAATATCACAATATTCAGGAAGAAAACACCTCGGTCAAGCGTCGAACGGCAAATCCGAATCCACAGTCAAAATGGCAAAACTTGTATCCTACACACTAATGCACACCGTACCGCCAGTACCAGCCCAGGCATTCATGAACATCACGCACCATACCGCACTTGCAATGCGCCTGCTTGAATCACCGCGCATACGATTATCCATCATCATGCTCCCCCCAAAACATGATATGAAGGCGAAAATGGAGATGGGCCAGTACCAGCCCAGGCGTTCATGAACATCACGTACCATACCGCACTTGCAATGCGCCTGCTTGAATCACCGCGCATACGATTATCCACCATCATGCCCCCCCCCCAAAACGCACAGACAGCGGCGGACGGACCATGTGTGCAATTAGCGTGTAGAGGGCAAAAGTGCCCAGCATCCAGTGTAGTCAAATTCAGTGAACTTTTGAGTAAATGCATGTGCGACATGCAGCGCAGTGTACAGAGGCTATGTGTAGAAAGTCGACATACGCTATAATCATGGACCTACTAATGCTATAATGTACTTATTTATCGTTTCCTGTAACCTTTTGGTAGTTTACCATAACGCCGTAACAAGAGTAAAAAAACGGAACAAATACGGCGAAACCGGCGTTACCTGTCCTGAGACGAGTATGGCATATGTAGATTAATGTCTTACCAAAGGACTCCAACCATGAACCATGTGATGTATCTACTAGACCACAACACCTCTAAAATAGCAATTGTGGATAACATGTTAAGATAAAATCATTACTGCCATATTAATAATAATGGTCCCATTTGTATAACACTTGATACTATGGTTTTTTTAAAGCACATTACATGTAATGATTTTTTTCCTGTCATTGGATTCAATTGCTATACTAGACAAAAATGTGTCATGCTCCACTCCACAAAAAAAAAGCATTTCAGCCAGGTGTATATTACCAGCACATTTGTTGAACATTTCCTTCTTTAATTTTATGGTTGTCAAAATGCCCAACAAATAATTTATGTGAGACATCACACATTGAATGTTGACTATGTGAGACTCATCTTCTCTAAATTGTTTAGTGTTTCTTTTAAATCATATTTAGCCTTCTATTTTTTAAATGAATTGTTTGATATAAATGCTCACTTATGCACAATATTTAATGTAGATACTTTATGATGTAAATTTACTGGGAGTAGCAAGTGCGGAGGCACATGCCTCCGGGCAACAATGTTGCATTTCAGTTTTGTGCACCGTCCCACATACTGCTCCCACTCCTTTTATTCTTTCATATTTTTACTATGTATTTGTTTCTTGCCATTGTTGTGAATCTATGCTTTTTATTATTGGACAAATAAATAATAATAATGATAATGGAAGAAGGGGAAACATATAAAATGTAGAAAGTAATCAATTAAGTTTTCAAGGTGGATCTGTTTCTGACTTACTTTGAGGTGTTCTCAGCTTCTTGTGCTTGTTGAAACTGCTCTAGGAGGAAACCATGGAGAGTGGGAAATCGGGAAAAGAATTCTGTACCAGTCATGCTACGTAGAGAGCAATAGAAGAAAGAAATAGTGTTTGTAAACGAGAGAGATACAAGATAATATGTTTCATACAGTGACCTTCAAATGACATATCTATGATAAACCAATATGAGGAATGCTATAATGATAGTTACATATTGTTTAGAAAAGTAATAATAATTCTTCACAGCATATATTCTCTTCTCCTTGGAGAAATCCTAAATTACATGTGGTAATAAAAGTATGTTATCATTTAATGATTAAATATGGTGATAAGAATATTGTATATGGGGGTCTTAAAGGGGAATCATACCTTGATAGTAAACTACTCTAGAAGAAAGCAGTAAATCAGAGAAGGATATGGGTGAAAGTTTAAATTAAATCGGACATAAAAATGATAGAGTTGTGAATTTTTAAAAAATTGCAATCCCTACAGGGATGAGCTCTTCATATTGGATGAACTAGTAATGTCTCTATGATATAATGGAGGACAACTTTCTGATTGTTCGACCACACAAAATGAATGTTATAACAATTTCAAAATGTGTGACTTGGGAAGGTCTCTTCTTTTTAGAAGACCTGTCATAATTTACTCTCCATAATGTATTTTGAGTAGTGCCCAAGGTAGAAGGTACTTGGGAGAAACAGAAATTCAGAATTATCTGTCCCAACTTCACAACCCACTGACACAATTGCCAATTTGACATTCGCATAGCTGTAGTGATCTCATGTTTCAAACATTCATATTATTTCTATTTATTGGTCTGATTTATTTTAAACTCTGGCCAATCTGTTTCTCTTGCTTTCTGCTTTTATTCAAAAGAACTTTAACAAAGGCTAGATTGTCCCTTTTGCAGCCAACATCAACTTCTGTAGAACTTTGCAGGAATTATGGATATGGCATGTATGTCCTATCTGTGAAATTCAATCATAAGCAATGTCTTAGTATTCAAATTATCCAAGAAAACCAGTTTACCTTCGAGGCTTCACTGTCAGACACTATTGAATGACTGACTGACATCTTTTTTTTCTTTGGTAACATACATAAAAAAGAGCTGTAACAGGAAGATGAGCATTTGTCTACATCAATAAACAACTACTTGTAATGGCCAAAATTAACCCGATTGAATTTTTGTGCAGCACAAAACGTACGACCATGCGGTAAAAGATTCTTTAAAAAAATCAGACTATTACTTAGGTGTTTGCAATCACTTAAGTCGATTCGACAACTAATGGTCGTTATTTCCCCACTAAAAGCCATTTTCAAGCCCTTTCGTTTTGAGGAAAGTTCTATATTATTATTGTCTTTCAAATCCCGTTGGAATTTAACCTTTTCATTTTTTTTGCCTGCAAATGGGACATACAGATGTATAGTACCTTTAATTACGGGGGCATGATATTTTGGTCAGTCATCTAATTTAGCTAAATTGAGGATCAATCTTTTCTGGAATAGTATTCTGAAAAGAATCTTTATTCAGTATTTTCAAACAATCTTCCTTTCTCTTATTCCACACATGCAATACATTGCATAGTTGCAAACTTGCCAGAATTATTGTTTTTTATTCATGAGGGGGAGGGTGTATTTACTTTACCACATAAAACCTAAACAAATGAAGAAGGATTTACCAATTTTTCCTTGCCAGTTCATCTCTTGCTCTCTTGACTCCGAATATCCTTGATATGAGTGCACTAAATAGCATCGTGGCTGAGTTACGCACCTTCACAAATAAACAAATGGCAATTAAGAATACATGTACACATACAAAAATAATTGTATTTCAATTATATGCACTATTGAAAAGCAAAAGGTGGCAAGGAAACTTATAATAATATCAATAATAGTGGGTTCTATGTAGTGCTCATTTCTGTCAGACTTGACACTCCTGGTACTCTACATTTTATGTACAAATAATAATAACAACATCAACAACAACAACAATAACAATAATAATAATAATAATAATAATACGTCTTGTTAGCCAGGGTAGCCTCATCTATAAATAAATATGCAAAAAAACACATCTTTCCTCGACCGTAACCGCCTTTGCCGTGGCACGGAAACGGCGACACAATCCCGCGTGCCACGTCGACCCTGTGGTCGCCGTCAATGTCGTTAAAAGTAGTTTTGGAGTCCCGGGTAGGCGAGCGGAGGAGAGCACGGCCGACGTTGTCCGTGCAAGGAGGCGTGTACCCACCATCTGTCTAATCAAAGAGATACACGGCGGATGACAATCAACTCACGTAATGTGGTGTAGCAAATGCACGATGCAACGGATCGGGCCTACCCCTTGTTATGCATCTTGCTATATGATATGCTTTGTAGGCCAGGCGACCATGTGTGTATGCAATGATTCTACGGTCATGTCACACACACATTCAAGTCGAGTGCTACATTCTGGTGCAAACCATGGACCTATTTTCGTGTAAAATCTTTACTTTGAAAATAATTATACAACTGCTGCGATTCATGCCAACATAATCATAATCCAAGCTTCTGCTTTATTGGTCTTTTCATGAAAACTACATTAAAATTACAACAATAATACACAAATAGATCTCCATTATCGAGATCATATAGTTTGTTTACGATGCGCCATTTCATGGCCAAACAGCGCATACAGATTAGTATACAAACTCTGTCAATTTTGATGTCAGTACTAATGAATCACAATCTTTTTCAATCTATTTTTAAGTAATAGACAAATAAAATAGAAGCTTGGATTCTAACTGAAAATTATTTTTAACTGACGTACTACCTGTGTTTGAATTGATTAAACTCTAACAAATATATGATATATGAATTAACAAAATTGATTTTTTTTTTCCCCCTCAATTAATGGTTCACAGAATTTGTATATTTCTTTCACCGCAAAAATTTCATACAAAATTTGAACAGTTTAATTGTGCCAGTATGTTCATGCAGTGCTCCCAGGCACTTCTGGTACTCGACAGACTGTGTGTGGAATCAACATATTTTCAAATTTCAAAGATGCACCGATTTAGCCTAAACAGCACCAAGGCTTGATGACATCGATCAAGACCGAATCAACTCAGGAAACTTGACATACTCCTAATAACTGAAAATGATTTTCAACTGACGAACTACCTGTATTTAAATTGATTAAACTCTAACAAAATATATGATATATGAATTAACAAAATTGTTTTTTCCCCTCAATAAATACTTCAATTATACCATAAAGAAAAAAACGAAAAAAACAAGTGCTTAAAAATAAAAGGAAAACTAGATGAAACTTTGACTGCACGCAGTTGAAAATGATGCCTCCGTCATAGAGCAAGTTTACAAACCAAAACAGAAGAAATTTTTCAAATTCAAGTTTCATTGTAATCCATTAACAGGTTCTCAGAATATTGTGATTACAAGCAATTTCTCATATGGGCCATTCCATGGTAACTCGCGTTACACTTAATGGGTACATTGACACGATAATGTGCCTATATCTTTAGAACTGCTAGGATCTACAAGATAATTTTTTCAAACATGGACAGGGTAGATATAGAACAACTGAATGAAACAAAAAAGAAAATTGAAGAACAAACATTTTTAGATTCTTGGATTATTGAATTTCGGTAACTCGCGTTACAAAAAAAGGACATGGTCAATTCTATGAGACCCTCTTTTCTCCTCATACTAGACAATCTTGACAAAATCTTTCCTACTTTAATTTGATAGCAGGTTGTGACTTACTAGTATAAGATCACAATATTAAAGATAAGAAACAATGGACTAGTAAAATGCAGGAAGCAAATATGTCGGTAACTCACGTTACGGTAACTCGCGTTACATTTTGTCCGGAGGCCATTTTCACCCCTATGTAATAGATTAAATATCATAGGACCCCTTAGAATATGGAAATATATTCATCTTTTTCCATTTAGCGAAATTTTCAGGAAAAAATATTACAAGAATCCTGTGTAATCTGCAATAAATGTTTTTTTTTCAGCTACAGTCCCACATGTACGTTTTTGATGATAGTTTGAGATCTTAGGAAATCAACAAAAATGAAAAAAAAATTGTATTGAATTTGAAAGGTCCTAATGTTTTATGAACATCCATGGCATAAGGTTAGTGATAAATCAAAGAATTAACATAAGAGGTACATTTCTTTTTTTGATGTCATGTCCTTCTTCTCATGGAATGACCCATATACATATATGACCCTTTGATCTTTGAACTCATGACCCTAAAATCTACTCAGTTCATTTGGCTCTGCAAGATGTCCTGAGTTAAATAGTAATCCATCTGTCAGTTCTAATGAGAATGCGATCACGAGCTGTTTTTGCATACATAATGAGCCCTGTGACCTTTGACCTTTGACCTTGTGACCCCAAAATCTCATCAGTTCATCGGCTCTGCAAGATACATACATGACCAAAGTTTGGCAGGAATCCATCAATCCATTCTTGAGATAAGGCGATCACGAGCCGTTTTTACATACATACATACATACATAATGAGCCCTGTGACCTTTGACCTCGTGACCCAAAAATCTAATCAGTTCATCGGCTCTGCAAGATACATACATGACCAAAGTTTGGCAGGAATCCATCAATCGGTTCTTCAGATAACGCGATCACGAGAACGGGACGGATGGACGGACGGACAACCCAAAAACATAATGCCTCCGGCTACTTCGTAACGGAGGCATAAAAAGAACAGAAACCAAAAAGTGTCTCTAGAAAAGGAAAAAAATGAATGTTAAAAATACAACATCTGACTTAAAAATTATCTTTTAAAAAAAAAATTAAATAAATACAACCACCCCCGCCCCCTAGAATCCCATGGATTTTCCACGGGTCCTGCTAGTCAGTATTAATACTGTTCTCACTGAGGGCCTTGCAACATTATAATTAACCTGGCTTTAGCCGAGCTACCATGATAAGCCGCTCAAGATTTTAAGTAATTTCTTCGTACTAGGTACCCATGTGGTAGACTTGGGTGGAGGGTGCAAAAGTAGATTCATATCTTGCCATAGGACACCATGTGATTCACAGTCCAGTGATGTATCCACTAGACCACTGCACCTCTACAATATGAATTCTATGCCCAATTTACAAATGAAACAAAAGGATATCATGTCAAAATTGCATATGTAAATGTTCGTGTATGACAATTGTAAAAACACTCGGGGGCACAAAAGAAGTTATTAAAGTAGCTTGCCGAAAAATTTCACATAATCACTAAAAATGGGCAAATTATACATGTCCGGATAGCGTAGACCAATTTGAACACACACATTCTGCTCTAAAGTCTTGTAAATATAAATGAAACGTGGTAAGAAGCTTTTTCCAAGAACCTTCTCAGAACTTCTATTCCTGGCTTAAATTTTGTTCGCGCAGTAGGCCGATTATGACATCACTGGTTGGGCACGATCGCAATTTTAGGCCTCAAGCTCGCCCCTCGCACAGCTCACGTGCGGTATTTTGCATATATACGTATACATTATCCAGACTTCGCATGCTTCATATCCTGACCAGAAAGTGGAATAACAATCTCTAGATTACATATAATATTAAGCAAATTTATTTAATATAATACGAGGGGTAAATCATGCAATTCGATTTGTCAAAATACTCTTCCGTTCTGTGTAATTTGTTGAGATGTTTTGTATTTGTTCGGTCATCATGTCTTGGCGTGATAGTGATTGCTGTTGATTATATACGGAGACCATGATGAGTGAATCGCGAGCGTCCCTTTGCATTTTTATTATGTCGACCTGCAGCTGCAGTTCTTATGAATGGTGCATATTTGTAGTTGATTTTCGCCAAATATAATCTCACATCTAATCGATTTTGTTTTGTTATCCGTGAAATTTGCCAAAAAGCCATACACATCCCAAAAAATCAGAAAATGTCTTGCCCAATCACCCCAGTGACAGGGTGCATGACAGATTGATCGCCAGTTGAGCGGGGCCGGGAGCCAGCTCGCGCTGATATGCTATCACTTGACCTGCACCAGCATCGACGCCGTCTTCTCCAAATTGTTCTCTTTCTTCCATCTCTCCTACATCCCCATCATCATCATCGTCACTATCACTATCACTACCAGTACCACTGTCATTAGTTGTGGAGCTGTGCTCATCATCTTCGAATTCTAAATCAAGTAAAACCTTTTTTTCGAGCTCGGACATTTTGACCAGATATTAGCGTTCGAGTGGCGTTTGTATACGTATAATGCATGCAGGCGAGAGTTGTGTGAGAGCTCTTGGGAGCACTCTCGCTCTCATGTGCCCAACCTCATACATCACAAATCGTACGTCACAATAGCGGGCCGATCAAGGGCCGAATAATCGGATAGTAATTTCACCACTTTTAATAGCAGATAAGTCAATTCTGTAACAATTTTTGAAAACTAAATATGAACCATTGGAAAGATTGTTACATTAACTTTGCAATGATACCAACATTATTAAGGTTAAAAGCCTTTGGAAACCTTCGCTCAGCTACTTTAAAGTTAAAGACCAGTTCTGGTCATGCTATTGCATTGTGAAAGAAACGTTGTGGAATCGATCAGAAAAAGTTGATCATCTAGTATATAAGTATTGGTGTGTACTGCAAGGTTCTGGAATCATTAAAATGATAAGAAATTTTGCTCAGTCTTGGTAAAGTTACAAGCACTGTACACAGAAAGATGTATATGGGACTACGCGACACATGCGCGATATCTATCAGGTCCAAATAGATATAATAATTTACCAAATATATCAATTAGTAGGCGATTTCCCGGCAAAATTTGTATCATCACATATTAGTCAAAACATATTCTTTCACATGATTGGTTATAAGAGCTTCCATTTCATTTTTTGAGAGGAGGGCGTTTCCAAAACCTTTAAAGAGAAATATATTATCACATACACTTGATACTCACAGCCCAAAACTTGGCAGCAAATCCTAAGATGGCAGCTTTGACTCCATTTCCAATGAAAGGTAGAACCTCCTGACTAAGTTTAGTATCACGGAACAGAGCCCGAAGGATGTTGAGAGCATGGACCTGGTAGGACAGGAAATAAAAGAAAGATAATACAGACGAACCCACGGTAGCAACCACATGTATAAATTTTTGGTGTATCTCATTGAAACATGTATTATGTATATGGCACTGGTTTTTTTAACATATACCAAATGTGTCCACAATAGGGTCTGAAATGAAATCATGTTTACTCACTTCAAACATGTATTTTTAGGATCAGGACTATTCATATTTTTGAGAAATGCAAATTTTGGACCTTAATCTATCTCCTTATTTATTCACCAGATATAAATACTTTGAGTTTTTACAATTTTATTGTGAACTATAGCATATCTAATAACTGTGATTTAAAACTCATTTGCTATTAACTTCACCAACAAATATGTTGGTCTTTAAGAATATGTTTCAGAGATTATTCATGCAAATTTTTGAGTTTCTATCTTGAAAAATACAGATTTTGTGTCCCTTGAAAGTGAAAAATAGCTCCAAATTAGGGTTTTGACAATATCAAGTTTTTATTTCAATAGGTAAAATGCTTTTTTCTTAGGTCAAACTTATTTTATTATAACAACTGATGATATAAGTTAAATACATCCAAAAAAATTGGGGAACCAGTGCATTGCCTAATAATTTTCATATGTCACACCACTGGTGTTTCGGACATTACACACTGTTAACATCATAACTTTATTCAAGTTAATTGCTTTTCTTTAGGTAATATTGACCAAAGTTACATTAATTGTTTGCAGAAAAATATTTCTTTAACATTTATTGAAAAACTTGTGCAGTTTTAATTAGTTTTGCACATATACCTAGTTTGTCTACATCAACTACTCAATTTATGTAAGGTAAACTGTTCATTTCAGGAACGTGTAGTTAAAAATGCTTATGTGATCTAACAAAGTGAAATATGGAGCTAATAGCAATTGTAGTCATCACAACTCCTAGAAAATTCACTTTATACAAACATACTCTCTTTTGCAGGTTATGAACAACAGTGTACAATATATGCTATAGTTTGTTTTGGATGTTACAAGATGTGAACATTTCAATCAGATCATCAATTTCTTCAAACTTTACAACATAGATGTTTACTCGGCTTGCTTTGTACTTTGCCTTAAACTAGATTCATGTAGTGTGTCATTCAATAATATCACGATCACATACATGTACAGTGTGTACAGTGTAAGCAAAACATTTCAAAAATACTTTTAACAAATAAAAGTATACAAAAGTATCCCCAGCCATTTAAGTAATAAAAAATATGGAAATCTTAATTCATTGTACATCCCAATATTTTTGCATAAATTTGAGGAAGTTACTATATCTTTAGGATCATGAAATGATCATTAACATGTACATTTTGTTATGAGGGTCAAGCATTTGAAAAGTATTTGTACATAAGGCTAGTATATTTGAGGGTAATTCATCCAATGAAAGGAAAAAATTATGAATTAATTAATTTTGAAGAGGCTACACCTTATTTTCATATTCATACTTTAATTACCCCCACAAATTGGTAATCCATTTTCTTGTCATTTGGAAATTTGGCAGATCTACAGCTATGTCAACATTATGTTGTACAAGTTTCTATAATAGGTATCGGATACTGATTACTGATTATTGTTGTATAATGGAAGCCTTTGGGCTCATCAATTGTACATGTATGCAACCAATGAGTGTGTCATGTAGTGTGCAAGCCAATTTCATAAAATTGCTTGATAAATTGTTATCATTATTAAGCGTAAATGCCAATTCCAGTTTTGGATAATGGCAGTAGTAATCCTTTCTACATAGATTAGTTACATGTACTGAGTGCCCTTTTTAAAATGTATTTTCAGATGAAAATACATATTTCTCATAAATTTTTAGAAAAACATTTTAATTTGCTTGATTTTATCAACTTCATATACCTGTATCATATCCATGTCATGACCATGCACACTGGGTATTGCTTAAGTGGGTGATTTTGATTTTTGTAACCTACCAGATAGTGTAAATTGACCATACAATTTTTGGTTATATGACATCATTTTGAACAACCTCTATAAAAATGAAAACCTCATGATTTGCAAACACACACCAATGTAAATAGCAAAAGGAGAGGTTGAACAAATGAAATTTGCTATTCTCACATTTATCATTGCCCCTCATTTGAACTAGTTAAAGTATGAAAATGTCTGTTAACAGTTTAATGTAACGTCCGAAACGTGCTAACAGCATACCAGAAAGTGCTGTTAAAGTGGCTGAATATTTGTTATGAGTCACTTTTGTTGAGATTTTTTCTGATAAATTACAATTAAGGATATACTGAAGCAGCCAGCCATGCCTTGCATCACAAAGTGTGGCTTCAATATTTTATTTTTTTAAAGTCAATTTTGCAGAAAATTTAGATATTTTACGGATTATTTGATTTTTGGCATCATATTTCTACACATTTTTATATTTAAATCTGAATAAAATCATCAAAATAGTGTTTTTAACAGGAGTGTCCATTGTGAAATGGTAACTTGCACATATGATCGAAAATTAGGTGAAATTTGTTGACTTTGTGGTAACAATAAAATTTTGTAACGTCCGAAACACCATTCTTGTGATTACAAAAAATTAATGGATTTGAAAGACCTGATTTGTGTTTTGACTTGTGTTAAGACTTATAATAACTTATTTCATAATGATTTATTCACTCTAGATACCTTAAAATATGGATTATTATCATTTTATTGGTATTTTGTGTTTCAGACGTTACATTTGTTTCGGATGTTACAACTGTTAACGGAAAATTGGTTTTAACTATAAAATAGTATTGTAATGATGTATTGCAAATTTCTTTGGTTTGGTGGGTAGCTGCCATGAGATGTTAACAAAATGTTATGATAGATATATCCTGCTGTTCATATATTTTCTGCTACTTCAACTTGAAAATTGTTTCGGACGTTACAAAACTGTTTAAGGAAAATGAGACAACTTTTTCAAATTTTGAGTATATTTGTAATATAAGCGCTACTATAATTAAATTATATTTTCTTTTAATATAATCACTTAGAGCAATTAATAAACTCACTCAAACCATATACAATCTCATTAATTTGTTGTTCTAGTGGGTTAAATGAGGGTCTACATTGTTTACAGAAAATGTAACGTCCAAAACGCCATTTTCAATTGCACTTTTCCATTAAAATAGGGGAGTTGATTCGGATTACTGCTAAGTTTCTTTAAGATCCACTCATGCTCATTAATCATCAATAGAAAAAAAACATATTGTTTGTGGCTATATATTTTTTTCAGCTCCGACCAAAATGGCATGTCAATTTTGTTACGAAATTCTGTAAACAATTTGCTGTTCAGGGATACCTCATGCGCATAAAGCAACGATGACAATTTTTCGTTAAGCTATGGGAGGTTAACCTAGGTCCATGCTACAAGAAAAAGTTGTTACTGATTTCTAATTCTTTATCTTTGGAAAGTTTCAGGCTCTCAAAAGGGCCATTTAGGTATTTGGTCATAGTTAAAAAAAACAGTGCCATATGTGTTCTTTATATACAGGTTCTACAGAAGTGGTTTCCTGTTTAGTGCTCAAATCAAATCCACCATGTATTGTTCTAGTGCTACACTATCATTATCCCAGTTACAGCTATTTGAACTTACAGATGAAGGTGGTGAGTGGCAAAAGTAGACTGATGTCTCCTGCTGGGCTGGGATAGGATTTGAACCATCAACTTCTTCATTCAAAGTTCTTCTAAGTTAGGAAGTTAGTCCAGAATAAAGCAAAAATTCAGACAACTAGAATTCCACCTAAGACTAGAGTCAAACCTGTCTATTCAGGCCACACAGAAGACAGGTGGCCTTTCTAGACACATTCAACAAAAAATATTTTCTCTTCCTAGATGAGTGCAAAATATCTAAGCACTATAGACAGGTGGCCTTTATAGAGAGGTGAGACTAATACAAGTTTGACTGAATTTAAATTAGATCTATTTGAATGATCCTGAGAGGTATTGATTGTAAGACTAACCCGTGCTGTCTGATCCTCATTTTCAGATGGTTGCAGTGCCAGGTTGAGCAGTGTTGCCATGGTATTCTGAAAGCAAGGCTTCCCAAGCTCCTTGGGCTCTGGTCCAACCAGGGCCTGAGAGAGACAAATGTATTCATGGATGAAAGGGAATAACTAACAGAATAGTAAGCAAATATCAAATGTGGTATTTCTGGCTGTTTAAATTTTGTATGAATGATGATAATATTGATTATTCACACAAAGTGCCTTTTCCATTATGCAATGTTCAGGGTGCTATAAAATACCATAATAAAGGTTTAAGACAATCCTTAAAAACAATGTAAACAACCTTTCTTTTAACAAATTTCTTCCAAATTAGATGAAGAAAGATTTATGTTCAGGCAAGTCTTGAAGAAAAAAAGTCCATTAGCAAAGGAATTAATAAATAAAACAAAAGAATGAAGAGTCTGATTAAGAAATTTCACAACGAATATCCTCAACCCTCAAACAATGTTTTACTTAATATGGATCTCATTACCGCCTCTACTTAAACTGAATCTGAGAGTACTGGTTGATAAGATAGTAATGAAGATTTCTATGTCTCTTTTCCAACTTGACAAAATGTTTTAGAATGTGAATGCCACTGATATCTTGAAATGAATGTGAATGCTGCTGATATGAAATGATGAATTACTTGGATAGCAAAAGGGATCCCAGCACTTCGTCTTGTGGCACACAACATAGATTTGTTGCTTGTGATCTCTTGAAGCAACTCAGACAACCATCGCTGTGGGAGGCCATGAATACTACTGGGTTCACTGAAAAATAAGGAGATAATACAGTCAAATCTGCTGTAATGGTCATCTGTATTTTTTTCCAATTTCAATTTCATCTATTTATCATCCATTTCACCCGCAGTATGAAAAGGACAGCAGGGAAAGCGAAAGTTATGATTAACGGATTAAATACTGATTGCATATAGTGCCTGATAGAATCTCCGTGTTTGGGCACATTTCCTGATGCAATTTTCACGTCAATTACAGGACAGGTAGCAATGTGTTTGGACGTATCATATGTTTATAATGATGCCGAGAAAATATCAATTTGAAAAAATGAGAGCAAAGTACATGTACATCATTAGTTTATCCTTGTTATTAAGATGTAAATCCTACTAACATCGTTTGCCAGTCATTGCTTTTGGATTATTTCGGATATGAGAGTTGGTAAAAAGAGTACGGTCGAAGAAAGAATAAGAAAGAATGAAGAAAATATTTTGCATGAAAATGAATGATCAAAATGAGAGGGAAAAAAAAGGAGGCAAGAGATGGTGGATGTTGAGAGATCAGAGAACTGATGAAATGATACATTTCGATAGAAAACGAGAGGATATGATTATGAGAGATGGTGAAAATAGTAGAGGAAAGCAGTGGTGGATCCAGGATTTTCCAATAGGGGGGGGGGATCTGAAAATCCTTTTTCCGCTCGAGGGGGGGGGGGGGGGTAGTGTGAGCACTACAAATATAATCATGTTTTTTGTTTGTTTTACTCAACAGCCCCCCCCCCCCCTTGAGCAAAAAAAGATAAATTTGTCGTAATACCATCTTATTTTTAAACTTTTTTTTGCCAGGGAGGAATGATCCCGGCCCCGTTGGCCGCCCAAACAAACGGAACTGTGTTATTCCTGTAAAAATATGTGTCATTTATTAATTATAATTGTGATTAAGTTATGATAAAACATCGACAATTCTTGGTTTCGTTTTTTCCTGGGACGCACTGCACAGTACCGACACTACAAGAGAAAGTGTTGATTAAGGAAAGAAAGAGAACGTTGTAGAGAGAGAGAAAGAAAGAAAGATAAGCAAGGAGACAGTGTTAATTCGAGATAGAGATGGATTTATTATTATCGGGAGAGAGAGATTAAAGGTGTAGTATCCGAATAAATTGTCTGTATGCCTATAAAAATCCTAAAATGTGAATTGTTGGATTATTTTGTAATACACAAATGTTTTTGTTATCTGAAAAAAATTGCTACTCACCATTGTCCAGTCGCAACAACGACATACACAATAATGACAGATTTATTATGACATTCCCGCCACAAGTCAGCATTTCAGAACAAAGGGGTAACAATCGTAAATATCACGGTGTGTTTGAACTTGGGTGATGATTACAACATTTCCAAGATACAGTCATCAATCCAACTTTCTACTTCATTTGTACCTTTTCATTGTTCCCACGAAAAGATCAATAGACATTTCAGAATGTCTATTCCCCTTCCCAGAGTTCAATGGGCGTACAGGCAGCACAGGATATGCAGATTAGAAATTGCTCTAGCGCTGCTGGTTGCTACACGTGCGTGGCCAAGGCGGTCGTTGTTGTGGCATTTTCGGTCGCTAGGGGAAACTAGAATTAGTGTCCGCTGGTCGAGTTAGGCAGGTGGTTGTTGCGCACGGGTTCTGAACTGCATGAAATCTTACAGGGACTCTATGGTCAGGTGGTCGCTAAGACAGGTTTGACTATGTCTAGTTTATATCCAAACCTAGTCTAGTACCTAGTTGTAAAAAATAAGTTTCGCTTACGCACAAATGATAAATTTTCAGACAATAATTTAGAGCCTGCCTTTACCGGCTCGCGGCGTAGTACATTCAAATTCAGTTTTCATAAGACCAAATGTCCAAAATAAATGACATAAAAATACATAACAGTCTCGTATTTATTTCAAAGAACAAAACATGCATGTCTACGTCCATCTACCTCTCTCTCCCTCTCTCTCTCAACCTCAAATAACGAACCTCTGCATTGATTGCGATTCACACATTGTCTCTCTCAAGAGCAAGTACATTTCATTTTAAAAGGGAAAGCCTACCGATCGCTGGAAGGAAGGAATTTTACTCGCAAGGTAATTAAATGAGTTCTTGCCCCTCTTAGCGCGATAAATAGAAACCCTGTGCCTCACAAGAGTTATATAATACATGCAAGATAATCCCCCCCCCCTTCTTGCCCCTTTCATCTTTAACGCATTTGGGACGCTCACGTTCTCTAAACAAAGGAGGGTATGCGATGAATAGAGAAGTTTTAATACCCAGTACCTCATGCGCTCTTCACGCTCACGTTCTCTAAACAAAGGAGGGTATGCGATAAATAGAGAAGTTTTAATACCCAGTACCTCATGCGTTCTTCACGCTCACGTTCTCTAAACGAAGGAGGGTATGCGATAAATAGAGAAGTTTTAATACCCAGTACCTCATGCGTTCTTCACGCTCACGTTCTCTAAACAAAGGAGGGTATGCGATAAATAGAGAAGTTTTAATACCCAGTACCTCATGCGTTCTTCACGCTCACGTTCTCTAACAAAGGAGGGTATGCGATAAATAGAGAAGTTTTAATACCCAGTACCTCATGCGTTCTTCACGCTCACGTTCTCTAAACAAAGGAGGGTATGCGATAAATAGAGAAGTTTTAATACCCAGTACCTCATGCGTTCTTCACGCTCACGTTCTCTAAACAAAGGAGGGAACGCGACCGTCCTGGACGCGGGCCAACGCTTGGTGGAATAAATTTGCCTTCCCTTAAGCCAACCTACCTCCATATCCTAGTACTTAGTTTGATGAAACCGGCGTATGCCAACTCAAATGCTCCTCTATGCTTGGATTTTCTTAGCAGCTTCATAAAGAAAGTTCCAATAGATTTGACCTGCATCAGAATTAATAGGAACAGATGGAGCAGAGCAAAGAAGAACCAATCAAATATGTGGATCTTGGTAAACTGTTTTATCGGCCTAATCAGGGTTGGCACATTGCCCCCTTTTTTTACATAAAAAATTATTTAAATTGCCTGCATAGATATGTGTGCGATACATTTTATATGCATAATTGTTTTGTCAATGATATTTTCTTGCTGAAATTATTCAATCTGGCATGTACATGATTCCAGTTTCTTATTAAAATGTCTCTCTTCTCTTGAATTTTAGACATGACGGGTCATACATGCATGTATTATCACTATCACTAGGGCTTTGTATGTATATGGTTAAGGTAATGGGAATAGTAGCCGAAGATCAACTCAGTAGCAAAGAAAATTTGTCCTCATGGCCTTGTAGTCCTAAAATTATTTGCCTTTCATCATTTCTCACCTGTAAACTTGTGACCAGGCCCTCTCTGTCTTCATCCTCCATGGGAGTTCTTTGACTAAGCTCCCCAAGGAGCAAGGAGACTTCCTTCATACTCCTCCAACAGCATACCAGGATCATCTGAGGGGTCACATGGAGCGTCTCCAGTTTACTCCTTGCTCCACATTCTCCCTCTTCCTCCTTTTCTAAATTTTCATGAAATCTCAAACATATTAACCCAGTGTCCACAAGCTGTGTACTTGAGAGAATTTAGTAGTCAATGGGTAAAATTGTTGATAGATGTTACATTTAAAGGTAATGCAAAGTTTTGGGAAATTTTGATAATTAGTACTTCTTTAGAATTTTGATATATTTGGATGCCTCTGTAGATGTATTATAAGTACTAGAAAATTCAGCCCTTAAGACACTTCCACTTTTGAGATATTTGAATAATCAAAATTTACCAGCGCTCCCGGTAAATTTCAAATAGCGTCTAAGGTCATTCCATGGTAGCTGCGACCATGAAAATCTCAGAATATGCAGTTCTGATATATAATTTCCAAACAGAATTAGCAAATCGGTCAATTGTAGTCAATAAACATTGTTTTAAAGCTAAAGCAATATCAGTCTTGACAAGTAATTTTTTTTTGTAAATTGCCCTTCAAACAAAAGTGTAATACATACAACCACTTTATACTACCATGTAAATAATAGCATAAATAGAGAGTTGTCTGGATCATTTTACCTTGTTTCTGCTCAGAAGGAATGAATCCTTCAGGGGTGGAGTTGCATACCACTGTGGCAGCAACATCAGCAACATCAAAGCAAAGTTGAATGAGTCTTGTAACAACACACTTCCATGCAGCAACCTTTGGCAATGTTCTGTATTGAATACACCACGATAAGGAATATGGGATTACAGTTTATGGACATAAAATGCACTAAATATGAAGGTTAGCATAATGAAGATGAGTTACTCCACGCTACAGTTTTCCTCGAAAGATTTAAGATTAAACAGGACCTACAACTAATTTTCTTACAAGATAACATGAGAAATATTTTATTTGTGTTTGTTTTTAGACTCAATCCTGCTTCAGACTGATTCTGCATCATATCATCAACTAGATGGAACTTCGACTACACGCAGTCGAAATTGATGCCTTTTACAAACCAAAACAGAGCAATTTTTCAAATTCAAGATTGATTGTAATCCATTAACAGGTTCTCATAATACCCTGATTACAAGCTTCTTTTTTATAAACATGTATGACCCTTTGATCGATGACCTCATGACCCTAAAATCTAATCAGTTCATTTGCTTCGCAAGATACATACATGTACTACCGAAAGTTGATGGTAATCTGTCCATCGTTTCTGTAATGATAATGATAATGCGATCACAGGCTATTCTTGCATACATAATAAGCCCCGTGACCTTTGACCTCATGACCCCAAAATCTAATCAGTTCATTGGCTCAGCAAGATACGCACATGACCCAAGTTTGGCAAGAATCCATCAATCGGTTCTTGAGATAACGCATTCACGAGAATGGGACGTACAGACAAGCAGAAAACATAATGCCTCCAGTAACTTAGTAACGGAGGCATCAAAAGGTTACATTGTATTTTTTAAAATAAACATGTGATGTAAATCCAGAAACTTTCTTTGATTGTGAATGACAGCCACTTTCAACTTGCAAAATTCATGAAGATTAAATAAGCAAATAAGTTTCTGGTTTTACAGTTATTGATCAAACAATAAATGCATCTCTCACTCACTTCAGATCTGTGTCCCCTAAAAGAATCCTCAGGCAATGCAGCACTCCATACATAGGACCTTGGACAGCAGTTTCTAGTAGACTCTCTCTAGCAACTTCCACTTGTTCTTCAAGGGCATTACATAGCTCCTGCATGACCCACAATGTGTTGGATTCTATGGAGCTCCTGGCATCAAGCCTAGATTGGGATTGGTACTCCATTGCCTCTACATTTGTGGTTGTAGAGAGGCCGGTATAGAGACTAGGTTGGACCTGCCTGATGAGAAGTCTGAAGACGTAGGCTGCTGTTTCACAGTTGTAAGGTTTGTTGCTGATGGCAAGATCATATGCAACTCGGTATCGATCTTGAAGCTTTTTAGGACTCTGTTACAGATGGCAAAACAAATATTAATAACAAGTCCAAACTTTGAACATCATTATTCATTATGTTTGTCTTATTTACCATGCAATTTGAATCAAGACATTATTATCAGAATATTATGGTTCATGGGTGTGCATGAAATACAGGTGCTTTAATCCCAACAGAGTAAATACTATGATCTTTTATTTTGTTACCCAGAAAAAAATGAAAACACAGAGTCTCCCACAAAGATAATGAAATATTGATAACCTACTGTATGCACTTTACATGAAAGAAATGTTGAATATACATCTATGTAATACACATTGAAAAATCAGCAGGCAAAACATGAAGCGCTCATCTAAAATAAAATCTAAATACAGTATAAAATGAAATGGTCTGCCCTATTTCTTGCAGTATAAGTGTAACTCATGAATTACCAATATTATGAATTGAAACTTAACTTGAACCATGTGTTCTGCCATCGATCAAATTAAAACCGAAAAGCTGTCTTGATGATTATTTTCTTTCTATTTAACAACTATCCCTACTTCTAATATATGACAATTATATGTGTATTTATGTCATTGGAATGACCTATCTATTACATACAAAAGTGCATATAGAAACTGTATGATGAAGAAAGTACATAACTTTAAAGTTGGTAGATGTCTAATTTACATGTTATGATCACCCCCAAAATGAAAGTTTTCTGAATATTTTTCATCAATAGGTTATCTATTATTCAAAGTTGGAATTGAATTGAATACATAAGTGAACTGATCTGAACTATATATATATTTTTCTCATTCACCTCTAACCCTAGGATGGCTTGTGGAAGACTAGCTAAGAGGTCAAAGGCCATGACCCTGTTACTCTCGTAGTTGTCCATCAGTCTTGTGACCATGAGATTAACTCTGCTCGTTGACCATAGTGTTGATGTAGCAAAAAGTCCTGAAAGAAAGAGTTTGATTAATGAATGTCCATTCCACTTAGCAACCACAGCGAGGAAGTATTAAAGGGAGAAGGTAGTCAGGTTCTAAATGCAGGAGGCCATAATTTGCTGAAACCAGACTTGGTGGAAATACCATTAATGTGTGTACAAGTCTGAAGAAAGAAAAAATGTAGTCATATCAAGTAAGGCTGTGCATAACCATGTAATGAGGTACTCGAGTACACTCCCAGGCTTACAGGCGAATACTTGAATACTCAGGGGCAATATTTGATTTTTTTATTTTTTATTTTTACAGACCCCAATTTTTGTTTTAACACGGCAGGAAAAAAGAAATAGTAAAATAACACATAAAAAATACCTAGCCTTTTTAATGTGGTGATTTTACGCCATTCTGCACAGCACTCGTAACTCCTTGCCACGATAAATCATGTTTACGCCAACAGTCGCCAAGAGATGGCGCTGCTCATTATTTTTTTTTGCCAACGTTGTAGGAAGCACCCATGAGGTTCGGCTATGAAAACCCACGCTATTTTACTGCGAGTTGCAATTGAATCGTACTCGAGTAGTTGTCAACAGTGCGAGTATTTGAGTACTCGTCGCAGCCTTAATATCAAGAAATACCAATATAGTCTCTCAGAGAGTCTTCGGCAGAGGGAAAAGTAAGATATGGGGGAATGGATGGAAAATGCAAGGCATTACATAAGGCCTGTTAGTGATGAAACGGAAGGCTAATCCTGGTGATTGACAACACCTCTTATTGGGTAAACACTCGAACAGTGTTAAGTTTCCTATGAAAGCCAACTCCTATGCATCTATAAAGTTTTGTTAGAAGATAGGAGCAGAAATATCAAACTCATTCTCTTTGGAAAACATTTGAGACAGTAGCCTTACAAATATATGGATTCACAGAAAAAAGTAAACAAAAATATATATTACAAACTAGACTTCACATGTGAAATAATGTCTATGACACATTACAATTCAAACAATAAAAGTTTCAGTAGGCAATTGGTTAAATATATGAGTGGCAAGTGAGTGTGAGGAAAAAGTTTATTCTTATAACAAAGACCCCTAAAATTATACTAAAAATAGTTTTAGGATAAAGTGAAGTTTAGTGTGTTCATGTCATTGAATTTTACTATAGTAATGTTTCGAGAGTTTATCATGCCATATATGAACAAGGCTTAATTTACCATTGATTCAAGATGTGAAGTTTACTGTGTTTGTGTCATTTAATTTTACTGTGGCAGTGTATTGAGACGGTTTACCATGTCATATATGAACAAGGCTTAATTTACCATTGATTCAAGATGTGAAGTTTACTGTGTATGTGTCATTTAATTTTACTGTGGCAGTGTATTGAGACGGTTTACCATGTCATATATGAACAAGGCTTAATTTACCATTGATTCAAGATGTGAAGTTTACTGTGTTTGTGTCATTTAATTTTACTGTGGCAGTGTATTGAGACGGTTTACCATGCCATATATGAACAAGGCTTAATTTACCATTGATTCAAGATGTGAAGTTTACTGTGTTTGTGTCATTTAATTTTACTGTGGCAGTGTATTGAGACGGTTTACCATGTCATATATGAACAAGGCTTAATTTATCATTGATTGAAGATGTGAAGTTTACTGTGTTTGTGTCATTGAATTTTACTGTGGCAGTGTATTGAGACGGTTTACCATGTCATATATGAACAAGGCTTAATTTACCATTGATTCAAGATGTGAAGTTTACTGTGTTTGTGTCATTTAATTTTACTGTGGCAGTGTATTGAGACGGTTTACCATGTCATATATGAACAAGGCTTAATTTATCATTGATTGAAGATGTGAAGTTTACTGTGTTTGTGTCATTTAATTTTACTGTGGCAGTGTATTGAGACGGTTTACCATGTCATATATGAACAAGGCTTAATTTATCATTGATTGAAGATGTGAAGTTTACTGTGTTTGTGTCATTTAATTTTACTGTGGCAGTGTATTGAGACGGTTTACCATGTCATATATGAACAAGGCTTAATTTACCATTGATTGAAGACGTGAAGGTTGCATGGATTGCTGTTAGGGCCTGGAGTGAAGTAGCTCTACATGCATAACCAAACCCTGGCCTTAGACTATGAAACATCACTGAACATAACCAATCAAGGAAATCCTACAATGGGGAAGTAAAAACAAAAGAATCATGAAGCAAATTAATCAACAATAAATCTGAAAACCTCTCACAGATACATCAGCATTCTTAGACTCATTGTTATAAATGCAATACAGATTTTTCCAGCTCAAACAAGTGTTGTTTTTGCATTGTTTTATAAGTTCTATAGGTTTCTATATGAGACAATTTCCTATCAATAATAATAATAATAATACATGAGATTTATATAAGCACCATTATCCATTTTAATTAAATGCTCAAGGCGCTTCAAAATATTAGGGAACACATTACATCATGACAAAGAATTACAAGGCAATAGAATAAAAGGATATCACAAAGTATAATTCAACTTAGTAAGGTTTCTATTTAGAAAGATATTTGAAGGTTGGTTCTAAAGCAAAAGAATAGCGTAACCTTGCTTTTATGTCAAAAGAACTATCAATTTCTGATAGGTAGAAGGACCAGAAAATTGTACTATACGAAGTTCAAGATATCAATGTCACACACAGAATAAAATCAGATGGAAAAACATATCCTAAACTCAGCGCAGCTGAATATGTTTTGTATAAAAGCTGCGCTATATAAATTTATTATTATTATCATTATTAATTCCCATAATTATTTGTCATAACTTTTAAAAAAATAGTGCACTGTAGGGTCCAGATTACAGGACGACAAGCATTTGCCTACATAAATCTCCAAGGTTTTAGTAGAGAAGAAACAAACCTTATACTTTAGAAGTAATCTTGAGTGATAATCCTGGAGATCTTGAGCTCTCTGTGATTTCTTGAAAAGGATTCTTCCACTTTCTCTCAAGCGAAAAAGAAGCTGAAAGAAAAAGTTAAAAAGCACATCATATCAAAGGAATCACACATATCACAATTTAGTAGGCAAATATTGACTGCTGTGAGTGTTAAAATGATTGTTCAAGGTGATCTTGAAACTGTACTGTGCCATCTCAAGATCACAGAGGAGCTTTTTGTTTTAACTGTGGCTCAAAAAATAAGGAGTCAATATTTGTTGCATATACCGCATCTTCCGTGTCTATTCTCAAAATATGCTTATCAAAATGTATTTCTATGTAGAGTCTAGGGATATTTACCCGTCTATGAGCAGTGCGCGTGTCTCACTGTGTGTTAACTTTATGCACAAAAACTGTGTCCTTGCATAGTCAGGGGTGAAAATGAGCACTTTTTTTGGTCCCCTCAACCACGCCCCCCTTGAGTAAACAAAAAAGAAAGAAGAGGATTCGGGGGGGGGGGGGGAATGACATCTAACAATATTTCCCCCCTTTTGAGTAAGAAATTGGGAAAAAATTAGGAAGAATAGAGATAATAAGGGGAAAATCAGGATAAAATCGGGAAGAAAAACAAAATCAGGAAAAAATCAGGAAAAAATCAGGTAATTATCAGGCCTGCATAGTACACCCAAGGAGAACTATGCCCAGTCAGTAACGAATTTCATGCCTGCAATTTTGACCAATCAGAGGCCTAGAATCTGATATGCGGTATTTAAAGAAAGATGTATACAGTAGGCTTGTGGATGCACCATGTGAGAAAGAGGGAGGATTGAGGAGTCCTGACAAGGACTCTCGGTAATCTTTCTTTAGGGTCTGTTGGTGTAGTCTTGAAAAAGACTGTTGGTTATCTTTCTTAGCTTATAGTTCTGAGGAGAACTATAGCGCTTGGAGAGGATGGGTGGCCACCCATCCTCTCCAAGCGCTATAGTTCTCCTAAGACAAAGTTACCGGATCCCTTCAAAGGATGGAGAGGGATTGTTGAGATTGAGGGTTGAGTGAAGATGAGGAGAGGGGGAGACAGAAGAGGAGAGGGGGAGACAGAAAGGGAGACAGAAGCAGAGAGAGAGAGAGAGAGAGAGAAGAGAGAGAGGAGGGAGAATATATTGTACTTACTTTCTTGATATGACTAATGAGTTGTTGCCTGAAAGATGGAGATGGATTGTTAAGATTGAGAGGAAGGGAGAAGATGAGAAGAGAGAGATCTATCTCAGAGACATCTTCTGTTGTCTTGTTAGAGTCACACAGGAGACCGATAGTATCAATTCGAATCTGAAAGATAAAAGCGCAGCAGGATAGTGATAACCATATCAGATCCCAATTTGATAATAATAATAAATTATATTTAATACAACAAAGTACAACGTAAAATAAACATACAGCAATAATAATACATAATTCTTATAATAACATTACAGATAATTAAAAACTTATCTAAACAAAATTGCCCTATAATTTACTATTAAACAAAAAATACTTCACAAACTTGCCTTAAAAGACTCTACAGATGGGGATTGTCGAATAATAATTGGTAAACTGTTCCATAATCAAGGGGCTGCAATAGTAAAAGTACGATCTCTGTAATGGGTAATGGCTCGGGGACCAGGGGCGTATTGGAAATTAGCATGTGTAGTTGACCGTAATGAAAGTGAGATGGAACAATAGGTTTGAGAAGGTCGTTTAAATATGATGGAGCATAACCATGTTAAATTTTGAATACTAACAAAAGAATCTTAAATTGAATGCGAGTTAAAAAAAGGTAGCCAATGAAGAGGTCTAAGAATGGGAGTTATGTGTTCATATTTTCTGATTTTGGTAATGAGACGGGCTGCCATGTTTGGAATACGTTGGAGTGGAGAAATGGTGGAATTGGGTAAGCCAAAGTACAATCCGTTACAATAATCTAAATGAGAAGTCACAAAAGCATGGATCAATCATTCTGTAGACTGTCTGTCCAAATATTTTTGAAGTTTACTAATCCTGGAGATACCAAAGGCAGCCGTCCGACAAGTATTCCTGATGTGTTGTTTCATATTCAGTACATTATCAACAGTGACGCCGAGGTTACGAACGACTTGATGAATATATTTTTCCTCCTCCTCTGATCTTGTTTTATATTTGCTCAAATTCACCATGCAAGGTGTAGTTAGACCCGAGTCATTAAAGGCTATGCAGAACCTGAGTGTGACTTGAAAATTTTGGGCAGGGACTAGGTCCCTGAACAAGAATTTTTCCCACACCAATAGGAATTAAGATCAACATGCTGAACTTATGATGCGATGGAAAAGACATTTACTGCTTTCAAATTATGTAGAAAGACTGCCATAACTTTTTGTTTTTATTTCTGATATTGAGGAATGCAAGGGTGATACTATGCGCATGCAGAACCTACATGTAAGTCATACAGAAAGAGCAAAGTTATGCAAGGCGGTACTACACTACAACACAACATAATAACTGTAGACAATACTTTGCTGTGCCAATTAATATTATAGATATCGATAATATCTCACAGAATTAATGATCTCGGGTTGAAGTAAGGACTTTAGTGACTGTGGGTAAATGGGCGAGGAGAAATCGTCTATGGAGTATGTGTCGTCAAACAATCTTCCATACCTGATCAGTGGAGTGACTGAGAGCTTGACAGAGAAGTCTGACAGGTACAAGGCCCTTCCATAATCTCGCTTCCTCATCTTCCTTTCCTCTCGAATCCAACCCCTCTTCTTTCTTTTCCTCTACTCTCTCTTGTCTCTTCTCTTTCTTTGTCGTATCTGCATCCTGACCACTCTTGAGCAATCCTAGAGACCTAGCCGTCTTCAGACATGATAGAAGCGCCCCCAATTTACCACCATCACAGGATGAGGATGATGATTCGTGGTTGCCATGGAAACATTCCTTACTCCTGACAGCATCAGCTGTAAGAGGTTGAGTTTGAGAAGGGTTGCCTTCTTTCATTCTTGGAGCGTTGAAAGGCTCCTGAGAGCTCAGGTGTTGTATGATGAAGGCAAGGCTTGGTGGACTGCATTTGAGAAGTTTGGGGATGAGGTACTATATTTGAAGTAAAAAAAATGTAATTTTTTAAAAAACAGTTTACAATCAAACAATAATAATGATAACTCTGAAAGTATCCCTATAAAATGGCTGGATTGCTCTGTGAGGAGAAAGTGCACTGGCAGTGCAGAACTGTAATTGAATTCCATGACTAGGGAAGTACAATGTAAAGCACTCTGATCGGTTATTGTAACTGGAACTATTGCTACATAAAAGAACATTCATTAATATTTTATACGAGTCCTCATATACTACCTCCAACACAGACTAAATTTATCAATTACAACGATAATGCTGATTGAGTTTAATAATTAATTTGAGAGATTTCAACTAGAAGTTTACACAAATATTTTACAAATATTTACATAACAAATATATCTTTTGTTCCATTATTGCTTAGTTCAAGACTATTTCGACCAGTTCAGAGGGTAGTTCAAATTTACAAGAAGAATATTGCTATCTTTCAGAAATGTAGTTATATAACTCACATCAATAATGAATCCTTTCTGTTTGCTGGGTTTGGTTTGGTCACTCAAGACAGCGAGGATTGGTACAACCCAAGTTTCATTCCACAGGAGGGAAGAGTTACCCTCCGTATGCTGTAGCTCCCTCTTGTGTTGGTTGAACAGTTTCTCTATCACTTCACATGACTGCATTATAAAAACAACAAAAAAGTGCAATGACACATGCTCTGGTGACAAATGCCCTGCTGTTCATTTCTTATTTTACCTGAATTTGTTAACGTTAACCTTAAGCCACAATCTATACCTAACCCTAAATTAACCTAAACACTATCCAATTCTTGGTCACTTGGGGTAATATAATATTTTTGTTCCATCTGTTGTTAGTGTGACTACCTTATTACTGTCAATACTGTGCGCATGTGCGTATTATATCACATAGCCAATTAGCCATCATATTGTGATTATTCAATTCATGCTATTATAATGATTAATGAATTTATTAAATTAATATACCTTGGTTTCTGGTATTAATTATTGTATTTATGAGGGAGTTGGTCAAACAACTTAATCTAGTAAAACATGTCAAAGTCCTCTGGACATACCCAGTTGTGACAGAAACACTGTAGCAACACTTCATACCATTGCAAAATAAACAGCAAATCTACACATATCAAAATAGAAGGCAACACAAAAAGAACAATAAAATATTCTGATCAAAAGTCCAACCTGTATATAAAGATGAATTAAAGGAAACAGTAAAAGTGGTCTTTATATGAAGGTGGTATTACGCACTCCAGCAAAGCATAGAGAGTCAATGCTAATGCGTATTGACCTCTAGCACTGCATGCTTGCTGTGAGGCAGGTATTATTAGACCCATACACAAATACACACACCACACAATACTGCATAGACTGCATACAATCATGCCGATGCGGCTGTAAGCAAAGTTTGACAGTAGACTTACAATTTGAATTTTTAAATTATTCTTTTTAACATCTTTAAGTTGAAAAAAATGGATTTTACTGCTCTTTAGGTGTCATCAATTGTCACTAAAGTACCGATTTTTAGTGAAATCAGTGGAGTTTTGTACAGTGGTTTTTGAAATGTTGAGAATAAAAAGCACAGCTTTTAGTACACAGCCAGGAAAGTGATGCTCCTATGTGTGGTATTACGTACAGGTTACTAAAAGAAATGTGGCCTTTATAGACAGGTCATTTTTCTATACAGTTGGTCACTTAAGCATACGCTTAATGATGATGATGATTAAACTTACATGAGTTGCCATAGCGTGTTCACCCATCACTGCCAGAAGTTGTTTAAGAACCCCTGGATAGAGGTTGATCACATTTGATGCTCCTTCCATCTCAAAAATGCATCCTAGTGGTCCATACTTGCCCCTTGTATGCCAGTCTGTGCTTAGCAGTGTGGACAGGGTGTCTAGTATGAAAGGGTCTTGGTGTACAGAAACTAGTATACAAGAGAGAGAGAGAGAGAGAGAGAGAGAGCAAGAAGATTTTTGTTCACTCAAACTATCAATGTAATTCAGTTAGAGATCCATAATGCTTTGGCTCCATTCGTCCATGATGCAGTATGCAGTCTAAAAAATACTCTAGCAAGATAAAATGACAGGCATAGTGCACTTTGAATTTCTGTATCTTTTATCACACAAATAAGAGAATATATGTAGAGGCCTTCATTGCAAACAACCTCCACTTGTCATTCACTGATACAGGTAAAGGGTCATTCAGACATGAAGTGATATATGTAGAGGCCTTCATTGCAAACAACCTCCACTTGTCATTCACTGATACAGGTAAAGGGTCATTCAGACATGAAGTGGTATATGTAGAGGCCTTCATTGCAAACAACCTCCACTTGTCATTCACTGATACAGGTAAAGGGTCATTCAGACATGAAGTGATATATGTAGAGGCCTTCATTGCAAACAACCTCCACTTGTCATTCACTGATACAGGTAAAGGGTCATTCAGACATGAAGTGATATATGTAGAGGCCTTCATTGCAAACAACCTCCACTTGTCATTCACTGATACAGGTAAAGGGTCATTCAGACATGAAGTGATATATCTAGAGACCTTCATTGCAAACAACCTCCACTTGTCATTCACTGGTACAGGTAAAGGGTCATTCAGACATGAAGTGATATATCTAGAGGCCTTCATTGCAAACAACCTCCACCTGTCATTCACTGGTACAGGTAAAGGGTCATTCACACATGAAGTGGTATATCTAGAGGCCTTCATTGCAAACAACCTCCACTTGTCATTCACTGGTACAGGTAAAGGGTCATTCAGACATGAAGTGATATATGTAGAGGCCTTCATTGCAAACAACCTCCACTGTCATTCACTGTTACAGGTAAAGGGTCATTCACACATGAAGTGGTATATCTAGAGGCCTTCATTGCAAACAACCTCCACTTGTCATTCACTAGTACAGGTAAAGGGTCATTCACACATGAAGTGGTAAACTGCCGCACAATTCTGTTTACAACGTGTAGGTAAGTGAATTGTAACTGCATACAACTAAGGTCCTACACTGACAGAAATGTAAAGCAAATTACACTTACAAAAATATTGAAGAATAAAAGAACGCTGTGGTTCACTGCGTTACATCTGAACGAGGGTTAAACAGTTAACAAGACAGTTATGATTACAACGATTAAAACTGAAGATCTCACAAAAGTCACAATAAGAATGAAGTGCACTACTTGTAAATGAGTTATCAAACTAGCAAAATTATATCTTCATAAAATGTTGATTGCCCAGTTAATAATAATAATAATCTGGATTCATATAGCGCTTAATGCGAAAAACCATCTCTAAGCCCTTTACAGATATTATTGCCCCGGCCATTCATGCACAATGTGCACTATCTCTACTCCCTGGGGAGTATTCCTACCATATGGTCACTGTGACAGCATATGGCAATTACTAACTCAAAGACTTTCGTCATCCTACTAGGTCCCCATTTCTCTCCTGAGTACGAATTGGCAAATGTATATTAATGCCTTCCAAAGGACATTAGTACCATGTCCTAGTCATTTCAGATCTATTCACATCCAAATTCAGACTTTCAACATTACTTTTGCCCTCTCTCATGATTATACTAGGCTAAATATTGAGAATACTATAAAGAATTTCATTTCATTTATTTTCCATTGGACATTACTGTCTTAAACTCAACCTTCTTAATCTCACCTCCATTGACAGTCTTTACATGTATTTTCATTACACCTTCAAATATTGCTTTAGTCTGATGACGGATACCCTGTAAAGAGAGAGAACAGAACATACTGGTAGTTTAGAGTTATAATAAATTGATATGAATTTAGTTATTATTCTAAATTTCATTTGAACTAGAAATATCGCAATCTGTATTGCCGCGCAATGCGAATGTATCCCCCGGCAGTGGCAGCGATTTTGTGTCATCCTTATGTTCGAAGGAGGGACAAAGATCCCCTCTCCCTGAAACAAAAGGATGACGTAGACATCACCACAATTGTCAAGACTAAGAGCAGCATCACCAAAACTTTATGTGTGTAGATTAGAGTATAATACATCTCTTTAGAAAATTTGAAAGAAATCTGTCAAGAGATGTGGCGGTTAGAGCGCACAAAAGACAGCCACCAAAATATCACCTTTGGCCCTATAACAGACAGAACACAGGTGGCAGCATTACCAAACACTAAAGATGTGTAGATTGTACTAAGACACACCTCCATACAACATTTGAGAATAATCCGTCAAGAAATGTGGCAGTTAGAGCGCATAAAATAATATGACCTTTGACCATATAGAAGACGAAACAAGGTGTAGATGTAGATGTGTAGAGGTGTAGATTATACCAAGATACATCTCCATTCAAAATTTGAAAGAAATCCGTCATGAAATATGACCTGCAAAGCGCACACTAGACACCCACCAAAATATGACCTTTTAACCCTATAAAACACGGGACACTGTTGGCAGCATCACCAAATATTATAGGTACATAGAATTTACCAACATACACTTTCATACTCAATTTGAAAGAAATCTGTCAAGAAATGATGCAGTTATACTGCACACTAGAGTGCACACAAGATATTTATCAAAATATGACCTTTGACCCTATAAAAGACGGAGCACTGGAGGCAGCATCAGCAAGATCTATAGGATTGTAGATTATACCAAGATACACCTTCGTTCAAAAATTGAACGAAATCCCTTGAGAAATGTGGCCTATAGAGCGCACACAAACCATCCACATAAATATGACCTTTTACCCTACAGAAGACGGAACACTGGGGCCAGCATCACCAAAAGTTAGAGGTGTGTAGATTATACCAAGATACACCTCCATACAAAATTTGAAAGAAATCCATCGAGAAATGATGCAGTTAGACCGCACACTAGAGTGCACACAAGGCATCTATCAAAATATGACCTTTGACCCTATAAAAGACGGAACACTGGAGGCAGCATAACCAAAATCTATAGGCTTGTAGATTATACCAAGATACAACTTTTTTTTAAATTTGAACAAAATCCCTTCAGAAATGTTTGCACACAAACCATCTACAAAAATATGGCCTTTTACCTATAGAAGACGGAACACTGGGGGCAGCATCACCAAAAGTTATAGGTGTGTAGATTATACAAAGATACACCTCCATACAAAACTTGAAAGAAATCCGTCAAGGAATGTGGCAGTTAGAGCGCACACAAGAATATGACGCGGCGGACGCCCCGGCATAACGCTGCTGAATCCAAAGGACCCCACCGGCATACTGCAGGGGGATACAATAACAAATTAATACCATGATTAAGTCTTCATTTAAGTATTTTAATAGGGTAGATTCACAATTAAAAGCTAAAATCTGCAACAGGCCAGTTTTTCAGCTCAGATATCTTTTACCAGTGCAGGGCAGAACAATGCCAGCTACCAATCGATATGACCAAACAGTCCAAACTGTGTAAATTCATTCAGTGAGATTGATTGTTCTGATAACAGCACTCATTTTTTTTATTGAACTTGGATGTTTGACTTGGACAAAAACCAATAAACATAGCCATTTTTTAAAAAAAAAAATTTTAGAAATTGGGAAGAAGAAAAAAAATCGGGAAACCGATTAAAAAAAATTTTTTTGTTATCAGGCCTGCAGTTTCTAGTAATACATTTAGTTGACATATTTGGGATTTTCTTTGAATGTCCACTTTAATGATCTGCCAGATAGTTTGACAAGCCTCACACAGCTTTATGCCGATGACGCCAAGATTTACCAAGAGTACCAAATACAGACTTCTGCAGATTGTTACAAGAAGATTTGATTGGCGACTTCCTTTGAATTTCCAGAAGTACATGTATAAAACTCTCCACACAGGAAATAATAACCTGCACTGTTCCTACTCAATGGAGAATGTCGTATTGGAAGATGTTAAATCTGAAGGGGATCTTGGTGTTCTAAGTGACAGTGAACTCACTTTTCGTCAACACATCTTTGCATCTATCCAGAAAGCCAACCAAATGCTGGGCCTTATCAAGCGTGCATTGTTAATATTGAACCCGACATATTTTTGCCTTTGTATAAGGCGATGGTTGGTCCTCATTTGAAATACTGTAGTGTTGCTTGGAGCCCTAGGTTCATCACTGATGACAGGAGAATTGAGGCTGTGCAACGTAGAGCGACGAGGCTGTTCCCAGGTTTCAGTGCCCTATCTTACAGCTAAAGGCTTAAATGGCTCAATCTCTACTCTTTACATTACCTGAGGGAAAGAGGGGACACGGTCCAGGTTTTCAAGATATTTCACGGTATAGATAGACTCGATCCAGAATGCTTTTTTGTGATATGACAGTATCAGAGAACAAGAGGCCATTCATTTAAGTTATTCTCTACTTGCTGTCGATTGAATGTCAGGAGTAACTTTTTTAGCAAACGGGTCATCCAGTCTTGGAACAATTTACCAGTGTCTCTAGTAACTGCTAAAGCATTGATTCATTTAAACACAGCTTGGAATTTTTTTGGTCATACAAACTTTGTAATAGCATAGTCTGACATCCACGCATGCACTGATTTATAGACTTTTACTAATGTACCAAGTGATCTGACCGGGAGACCTACAGGATATCCTACACTCCTGTATAGATGATCATGATGATCAAGTCTCCTTTTCATAACCTTTTCTACCTTTGCACTCAAACAATTTTTTTCTTCTACTTTTGCTGTCTTTCTCAATACCCCAACATTTCTCTCCTCTCTCCATATCACACTTCTACATTTTTTTTTTTTTACTCCAAAGCATCTCCATCTGTATGTCCCTCTTTCTGTCTGTCTGTCTGTCTCTGTCTCTCTTTCTCTATCTTCTCGCTCCCTTAATACTCTCTCCAAATACAAATCTTTCATGAATCAAAATGTCACACAAGAAATGGTACAACTACATTGATAGATATCTCACATCTACTGGATGGTCCCAGTGGGTAGTCACATAGAGGAGTAGCTTCTGCGGGATAGGTGATGGACCAGAGAGGGCACTCTTGACATGAGATGACTCAACCTTGTTCACTAGCTTTCCTGTTACCTCAACCCACTGACATAGTGTTCTGGCTGCTGCTAGTGAGTTACTGGAATTAGCAAGGCTGTATAGTAATAGAAAATAACAATATATTGGAAGATGTAATGTTTTATTACGGCAAACCTCACCCCAAAGAATAAGTGTAGGTATGGTGAATGATGAGATTTATTCCTGCCTTTTAATGTACAACCATTCTTACAAAAGTGTGCACATGGGCACAGCCATTTTCTTGATAATGTGACATACAAGGCAACCTTGTATACTTCAGTTGGAAAGACTTTTTAATTCAGAAAGAAAACCTTTACTTTTCAATAAGGAAAAATCATAGTTGAGAAATATATATTAATGGGAAACAATTGTAACTCATTTATTTAAAAATATTAAAATATAGCAGTAAACAAATCTATTTGATTTATGTGAAACCGTCATCCCTGAAGACCACGCTCTTATTTATAATTTGGGGAGAGGTTTCCTTTAAATCCATTAATTCATAAACTTATCACCCCTCAAGATTTTAAATACCTGAGTTTTCAGTTCAAAATTGATCTTTTTTACTATGAGTATCAGACAGTAGCTATTATTTAGAATATACAGAGATTGATTGAGAGAGGCAGGCAGAGAGGGAGAAAGAGAAATATGGAGTAAAAGAAAAAAAGAGAAAGAGTGTTAAAGAGAGAGAGAGAGAGAGAGAGAAAGAGAGAGAGTGAGGGAGAGGGAGAGTGAGAGAGAGAGAGAGAGAGAGAGAGAGAGAGGGAGAGAGAGAGAGAAAGGGAAGGAGGAGACAGATGATAAGAAGATGACTCGACATGATAAATACAATGAGGCAAAGGGAGAGTATTTGTGTGGCAAATATAGGTTAGAAGATAGGGGGGGGGGGGGAAGAAGTAACAACTGTAAGGTACCATTCTGTGAGTTGATATATCTCAGGGAAGAGTACATCAAGAAGCGCTGTGTCACCCTGCCCAAGATCCTGGACTAGATCTCTTGGTTCTAACATCACCAAGAACCCATGGCATAGATACAGACGGCAAAGATCTGGTACACTCTTATAGAGGTCAAAGCTCAGTATAAGTTGCTGGAGATGGCTTGGCTCAATGGCTGGAGTGTTTGGATGATGGAACATGGATGTCACCTGCAGAAAACATGACCACAGCTTGAAAAGACTCAAATATTCTAAATTTTTGTTGTGATCTTTTTGAGCTGTCTTGTGAAGAATACTATATTCAATTAACCCTTTTTGGGTTAAATACACAGGGGCAGATCCATGTATGCGATCCATGTATGCGATCCATGTAGGGGCAGATCCATGTATGCGTTACTCCTTGGAAATTTCTGTCCAACGGATGTTTACTTGCTCCCCATTCACCCTTTCCCTTCACCTTTTATGGGCATGAGGATTCCTTTTCAGGAATAATCCCATGAACTCTGACTCATGACTAATGCATATACCTGCCAACATTTGAAAAAAAGAATTGGGAATTTCTAGCGCGGTATGCCTTCGAAAATAAGAAGTCTGTACCCTAAATAGGCGTTCGCACATGTATGCAGCGGCAGTGTAACTGGCAATACGCGGTTTCTGTACAAAAACGCGAATACAAATTCGCTGCTCAATCATGCAGCCATTCAAGGCACGCAATACGTGAACTCTCTAATCGCAGCACATGATAAAACAATCTTAATTTGGCTCTAGCAATACAAAAAAAAATATTTAAAAAAATTAATAAAAAAGTTTAAAATTTGAAAAATCAGAATATTCCAAATTTTCAGGTCCTTAAAATACTACAAATTGGCATATTCCGGATTATTCAGAAGGGTTGACGGTATGATAATGTAATGTTTGACCAGCGTCATACCTTTCATTATTTACTTGGAAACTTTTACTGGAAGTTTACTAATTTTTACCCATGAAAATTATCATTGTTTTGGAACGTGCCATCTCAAGACAGTCCCATACCTGCCAACATTTGAAAATATGAATTAGGAATCTTTAGCACGGTATGCTTTCCAAAATAAAAAGTTTAATTTGGCTTTAGCACACACACACACACACACACACACAACAAAAACAAAAAAATGGAATTTGAAAAATCAGTATATTTCGAATTTTCAGGTCCTAGAAATCCAGAAAATCAGAATATTCCGGATATTTGTAAGGGTTGGCAGTTATGAAGTTATTAATTGCTCTAGATATTTCTTCATGAAACATGCAACACGTCATTATAAGTCAAAGTTAACCCTTGAAATTATGACAATTGCTGCAAAATTGAGTGACGTGGAAGGGACTAAGTACAAGTTTGAACTTACTTTGTTATCCTTTTCGACTTACCATGTTAACAAGAACTGGTCCTAGCGGACACCATGTCTTGCAGATCAAAGCAAACATCAGACCAGCAGCACTTCTACAGTCAGCTAGGAACATGTCTAAATCAACACAAATAATAAAAAATGGAAATGGATTAGTGCTTTGCTTTCTTAAAGATAAAGACCAGTTATGGTCATGCGATTGCATTGTGAAAGAAACATTGTGGAATCGATCAGGAAAGGTTGATCATCTAGCATATAAGTATTGGTGTGTACTGCTAGGTTCTGGAATCATCAAAATGATAAGAAATTTGGCCCAGTCTTCGTAAAGTTACAAGCACTGTACACAGAAAGATGTATATGGGACTACGCACATGTGCGCGACATGTGCGTTTATCTCTCACACACCAATAGATAAGCTAATTTACCAAATATATCAATTAGTAGGCAGTTTCCCGGGAAAATTTTTATCATCATGTATTAGTCAAAACATACTCTTTCACATGATTGGTAATAAGAGCTTCCATTTCATTTTTTGAAATCGGGGCGTTTCCAATACTGGTCTTTACCTTTAAAGGTAATACAAAGTTTGGGGAAATTTTGAAAATTGGGTGGATAGTGAACCATAACAATTTTGATATATTTGGATGTCCCTGTGGATGTATTATAAGCACTAGAAAATTAAGCCCCTAAAACACTTTTGCTTTCGAGAAAATTTGAATATAAAAATTTACCGGTGCACCCGGTAAATTTTGATAAATTTCAAATAGCGCCTACGGCCGTACAATGGTAGCTGCGACCATGTAAATCTCAGAATATGTAGTTGTGATATATAATTTGCAAACGAGAATAGCTAATCGGTCAATTTTTGTCAAGAAACATTGTTTTATAGCTTAATTAATATTTTTGACCTTGACTTTGAGCTTGAGAGCTGTACAGCATAAATTATTTACAATCTCATAACTTTAGACTCGATTTCAACTGCGACAACGATCACTGAATATTGTAGGATTGCATATGCTTCCAAATAGGTTCATTTGAACCAAATTCATGACCCCATACCAAAACTTTGTATTACCTTTAAGTAAAACAATGCCTCCTTTGGAGAAGGGTCCACCAACAAGGGGGGGGGGGGGGAGAGGTGGCTAAATAAAAAAGACTGAACAATAATAATTTTCTTTCAAAAGTACCGGGAGGTTTAGGGTTCAAACCCTGGCCAGGTCATACCAAAAGACCTTAAGAGACGGGAGTTGCTGCTACCTTGTTTGGCGCTCAACAATGAGGGATAGAGCGATGTCAATCTGGCACTGCTCAGTGGCTGCCGGGCTCACGTTCAATTGGGCAAAAAGAATTTCCATTTTTGGTTTAACTTAATAAAATTTGGAGTGGACTTTAACAAGTTTATTATAATTATTATTATTATTACTTGCGAAAAGACCGCCTTTGGCGGCCTTTCGCACGCTTTGTGTGAGCGATATAAGGTGTTGAAAGGACGTGCTTGAAGAGTTGACACAATGGTGGATTGGAAAAAGAAAAAGAAAAAGAAAAAGTTGGTGAATGCTATCCTAAACAGAATCATAATAATAATAATAATATGTGCCTTTATAGCGCCTAAGACTTACTTTATATGAAGTCTCTAAGCATTCTACAATAATGCAGCATAATTAGTTTATTACCCTGCATGGCTTTAGCAGAGCAGCTGTCACGCGCTCTACGTTTCAAGAAATAAGTTCCTACCAGGTCCCCATTTACTTCACCTGGGTGGAGTGCAGCACAATGTGGATGAATTTCTTGCTGAAGGACCTCACAACCTTATACGAGAGTCAGAACCACTACACTATGACGCTCTTCCAGATTTTGCATGTACACCTCATACATGTACAATAATAAATCCATTCTTATTTTTAGGTGATGGAATGCCATCTATACTAGTAAAAGTAGTGCATTTACCCTTCCCCCCCCCCCCCCCCCCACCAGAAAGGAGTAAACTATCGCGAGAAAAAATATCAGATATTTGATTTGTATTTTTACGTTTTTTTTAATTGAAATTTGCCTAAAAGAAAAAGATTTAAGTGAGCCAATCTGTTTGAAGGTAGTAACACTACATTTACGCATACAAAGAGTAACTATTACCTACCCCCCTAAAGAACTGCTCATAATTTCAAAACCCTTAAAATGTATCACGATGTCATCTTAATACCACAAAAATTTGACTGGTACGATAAAAGAAAACCCAATAACGACCTACAGTCACTGTCAGTGTACCGATGAAAATAATACCTCTGATTTCCACATGGACAAATCAAAGCGAAGCCCCAATCGCTGTTGTAGCGTGATTGGTTGAAACACTCGCACAAAATTAATATGCACGGTATACGCGCTGTATTTAACAATGAAAAATCTACATAACAATAGAATATATTAACGAACCAGACCACAGAACCGGTTGGGACAATATGTCTGCAAAGCCAGACAGCGACTCTAAACACGTACAAATCAATGCAAAAGCTAAAAATCATGACATTTGGTCACTACAGATGTAACAAAATCTTATCCTGTCCCAGAAAATCAAAATATCTTTGTAATTTCACTTATTTCCACAACTGGGAATTTTCACAACTGTAATTTTCACATGATCAGATCAACGAGAACAAAAAAGTAGATTGACCATCAGAGGGTTGGAACCTCCTGTAGGTTCCAGAATGCTGTAAACCACATAGCAGCATGATTTTTTTACTTGCACGTCACTGTTTTACTGTAAAAAGAAATTGTACAGCCTTTTGATGTCTGCACCTTTACGTGCTGTCACAACACATCCCATCCTAGTATAGCTTGGAAAAGCTGCTTCAGGGATTACCTCATTAAGTATCAAGTATCAAACCTTTAATACATAGCCTTGTAAGATCTCAGAAATGAACCAAATATCTAAGCGGCTCTGAATTAAAGGCCATAACCGTTTCCATGTAAACAAAAAGAAAGAAAAGAGAAATGGAAACAAAAGAAAAGGGATGAAAGAGAGGAGAGAGAGAGAGGGCAGTAAGAGCCCAAGAGAAGAGGGGTGGGAGTAAGAGAGAGAGGGGGATGTAGCTGCCAACCTCAACTGAACAAAAATCCTATTATTTTCCCCAAAAAAATCCTATTTTTGATCGAAGTACTTTTTTTTATTTTATTTTATTTATTTTTTTTTGGGGGGGGGTTCCAATTTGCATTAGTTCCTAAATACAGGAAAAAAAAATTAATGGACCAATGGTTGAATATGCATGATTTCGTCATGACTGATGTGTTCGATGAACCAATGAACATCCCCAAATTGCCGATGTGAGATGATTGTAAGATACTTAAAAGGATAGAAAGGGCTATTTGCCATTAAAATGGCATACAAACATTTTTTAAAAAATTTTTTTTTGAGGAAAAATGGTACTGTCGAATTTACTTCTAAAAATCGTACGAAATACGATTACCGTATTTGCCGGCGTAAAGGCCGCACCCCCGCATAGGCCGCACCCCCGATTTTGACATTTAAAAAGAAAAAAAAAAAAAAAAAAAACGATTTTTTTTTTTTTTTTTTTTTTTTTTTTTTTTTTTGTTGTTTTTGTTTTGCTGCCGAAAACCCACGCGTGGAAGGACCTTCATTTAACATCGAGGTTCAGTTAAAGGCGCTGATTTGTGCTTGTAAACTTGTCACAAATAATAGTAACAATGTCGTTTTTAGAAGAATGTGTAAGATCATTAATGTGAATTAAAAACAATAAAGTACCTATGGTACCAGTGGTGTACCTTGTGGTACACCATTTGTTATAGAAAAAAATTTGAGGAACTATTATTATAAACTACATATGAGATCTATTAGAAAGATTACTTTCAAACCAAGATGACAGTCAAATTTTAGTGTTGTTGTAGTTTCCGAGTGGTGAGTCAACACACTGATTACTGAGCTGGGAGACATTGCCAGGCATAGCGCCATAAATCGAAACTAAAAAAAAAAAAAAAAAAAAAAAAAAAAAAAACTTTTTTTTACTCTTTCGGCGCATAGGCCGCACCCCGACTTTTTGATATTTTCTCTTCCAAAAATACTGCGGCCTATACGCCGGCAAATACGGTAAATCGTACTGGTTGACAGCTCTGTGTAGGAGGGAGTAGCCACGTTGAGGGAGCAAGAAAAATATGCAAAGATGATGTTGCTGTGTCGGGTCCGATGTGTCAGTATTCTTGCTCGATCCTTGTGTACTATATCAATGCAGAAGTTTGAAGTCGGTGAGATGTATTGTAAGTCGGCCTTTCCCTACGGACTGTGACTTTTTATCGGACAAAGACATTTTTTTGAAAATTCAGACAATGATTAAGAGTTGGTACAATGAATAGTCTTCTTTTCCTAATAATTTAATGAAACGTCAAGGGCTTCACCGCTTTGCGAGGGAGGGGAAAACTGAATTCAGACAAGGATTGAGAGTAAAAAACAGTACAACAAATTGTCTTCTTTCTCTAATAATTTAATGAAACGTCAAAGCTTCCAAGCTTCACGCGAGAGGGGGAAACTGAATTCAGACAAGGATTAAGAGTCGAAAAAGTACAACGAATCGTCTTCTTCTTCTAATAATAATTTGATGAAATGTCAAAGCTTCCGCACTTTGCACATGAGGGGGAGGGGAACTGACAAATAATTTAGCTCCTGGCCTGGGTTTATAGGGTTAGATTTGTAGCCATTGGCATTAATATATTTGTCGGTAATTGGTGGCTACTTTTGT